GACAATTAAGGAGCTCGTCCGCTATCTCAGAGTCTCCGTTGTTCTGAAATTCCTGATAGAGCTGTTCCATCTCGTCGCTCCATCCTGGGACAACGGCTTTGCCAAATCTACCATAATTGTGGCTTTTAGGAGGGATCCATCTGACGACTGTGTCCAACTCCACAGCGAATTTGTTCCATTGAGCCTTTCCAAAATTCCACCTAGGCCTGGATGTAGAATGGATTATCGGAATTTTAATTCCAGTTTCGAGAACTATGGGGCGATGTTGACTGTGCGGGAAGTCATCCAGTCATGTTCCGTCACATCCAACTTTCCTCGACATTGATATAGGACGTTTTTTGGCATTCTCTGAGACAAAACAGAGGTCTGGGTTTGTTTCAGTGTTCCACGCAGCTGATCTGAAAGAGTTTCGTTCTTTGGCATCAAAAATCAGGTGAAAATAATGTGATTCAGCCCAGCTCGCAAGGCGATCGCCATTTTCATCAGGATGGATGCAAGGCTAGCTCGCGTCCGTAGCAGAATGCTACACGTACACCCCGGGTAACGCTAAATGAGCTAGTGCGACCCTCGGCAGCCTAATATATTACAGTGATATACAACTTATATGGTTTTGTAACAAATTTCTCGCTTTTTCATGGCAAATGCAGAAGCTCTGTAAACGTTAATCAAGCTTTGATGAAAGCACGTGTGTTTGGAATTTTGGGTGTGACTTAACACGACAGAATCGGGCTAAGCCTTAGGCAGATTTCTGAAATATGATATATATTTCTTTCGGCCACACACCCGCTTTACCCGACCCCTGAGAGCGACCTGAAAGCCGTAATAGACTTTGACAGCGTAATAGACTTTTAAGTACATAACTTTTCCAATATCTCAAAAATGGTTTAGCAGAGTTAAGAGTAGGTTAAGAGTTTCAAGGGTAGAATCAAAACGCTCAGTATAAAAAGATGTACTGAATAAAAAATGAAAAGTAAGAATTTTTCCACTCCAACTTTTTTGTGGACTCCAACAACTTTCGGTAACGCTTGCGCCGTTATAATTTGTCGGAATAAAATTATAACATTTAAAATTAGGTCTGCAGATTTTATAAGAGAACGACACTGAGTGGATGAACATACGGAAAAAAAAATTGTAATTTCGATTTTTGTCAAGCTAAGCATAGCATTTTGCCGTGTGTGTGTCGGGTTAAGTGGTTATGTATATAAAAATCGCATTTCAAGATTCCTTGGCATGTTAACACCGACCCAAAACTTCTCTTACCGATATGGTGCTCAGAAGCTTGGAACACCCTCAAAAGGAGAATTCCACTCCTCAAATTTCCAATAAATAACATACCCAGAAGGTACGGGAAGTTTGGGAAATACCTACCACACTGCACAGTGGTTCCCAGATAGGTCATTACTTAGAAATATTAATTTCAAAATGTTTGCATGAAACTGTTGCTAATACTTTTCTTATATTCCCCTGTAAATGATACATAATAAATAACAAAATAAAGTAAGCCTAGTGTAGCGCTTTTTTTTATTAGAAATGTCACATTTTTGCTACTGGTATCAAGCTGACATAAACAGTTTTCAGATACCGCCAATTAATTACTTATTTTATTAAAATTGATAAAAGCTGTTGCCTTTTCTGTAATGGACATTCGAAAAGAAGGTAAAAAGAACTGTTTTTTTCTTTTTTGCACTTAATTAAACCTAAGTAATATTAGTTAATGGCAATTTATTTGAAGGCAACAAAAGTTATATTTTTACATTTTTGCTTGTCACTCTTTAAGACTTTTAACTACTTTCCCTTTCAAATCCTCTTAAACGGCATGATAATACTTGTTGCTTAAAGTATATTGCATATAAATTAATTGCCATTGGCTGCCGCGAATTGCCGCCGGATCTTATACCGGGTGGTTAAAGATTGACTTTTTGTCTTAAAATAAAAGTATCTTATTTTTTCCTCTTCGTGTCAATTTATTTCGTGGACCACTGTATATCAATTAACAATAAAATTGTATTTATAAAATGAAACAACTGTCTCCTTTATTTTTTCAACATTTAAAATAAATTTGACCTCTTCAATATGAAAAAACATGTACATATGTGCAAACATAATCTGTATACCTTTCCGAATAGTTAGAACTTAAAATGCAAATCACACGAACTGGGCCCAGTTTTTTTAATACATATTACATTAAGTTTTTTATATACATTTATTTAGCATTTGTTATCAATTTCTATTAAAAAAGGTGCAGTCAAGCTATATCTAGAGATCTAACAGTTATGACCGCGCAGCTAATTAAGGGGAACCACTGTGCCCTGTAGTATTGAGCAACCAAAAGAATTGGAAGAGAGAAACGATTGTTCAGCTGTTAAAAGATCGTATTATAACGTGGTATACTGGATACTGATGCTCCCAAACCCAAAACAGGAACAGGGATAGGGGTATTTGGACCGAAAACTAAATGCTCCGAACCAATGGACCAATCCTCAGCATCCTTCAGGCAATAATATACGCTATCGAAAGATGTGTATAACTTATCTTAGATAGGAAATATTGGTAACAGGAAATAGTCATCTTATCCGATAGTAAAGCAGTATTAAAAGCAACTCAGTAACCATGGCATCAATTCCAAGTTGAAGGTTGTCTAGAAAGATTTGAAGTTGAAAAGAATGCATAGAAAGCTGAAAAAATTATCCAAAGAAAATAAAGTTCTTTTCTTCTGGGTACCAGCCCACCAAGGGATAGAAGGTAATGAAAAAGAAAACGATCTAGCTGGAAAAGGAGCAAACACTTCCAGAACCGTTTTGATTCCCAAGTGGAAACCAACTTAAAGCAGAATTCACAAACCTGGAAGTCTTTATCTCTAAACTGGAATGGGAACGATCCAACGATCTAAGACACTTTTCGCAGAAGAAATTTCTCAAGACTTACGACCAAGAAAAATATAAAATATTCTTTGATTTAGGTAAGAACAATCAAGATAGTCAGGGGTTTTTAACAGGACATTGTTTCCTTACACACAAACAACAAAAGCAATAAGAGAGGCTGGATGTCCTGAACGACACCATATGGAAAAATAAATACATTGGTGTCAAGGTCAAGTCAAGTCAAGGCTGTCGTCAGACCCATAATGATCTACGCAGCAGAAACCAGACCGGATACAGCAAAAACAAAAATATCACAGGTAAAACGCTGCTAGATAGAGAACGAAGAGACAACATAAGACAAACATGCAAGGTGGATAGCAATAATGAATGGGTATTGAGCAGAAGACACGAATGGAATGAACATATAAGCCGAATGGACGCGTGAAGAATAGTAAGGTCAGCTCGAGACAAAGGCGCGGGAAGGCCAAGAAAAAGATGATGTACCATCGATTGAAACTGTAGGGATGATGTGAAGAATGAAGATTTTTTCCTCAATGAATACCTTAGTAGATTGAAGGAAAAACCAACGGTGAATGCGGATTATGTGAAGAAAATAGGGAAACCAGAACGCCTCATCACTGAGTGCACCAAGACAACAACCATTCGTGCCATAAACTTTGGTACGACCCTTGGTACGACTGATATTGGAGATGGAGAACTCACCTCTGTAGAACCGTCTTTATCTTTTATCAAAGCCCTGAGACTTTATGATGAATTATAACTCAAGAAAAAAGGACACAATCTCTACTAATATATAAAATCCTTAGGTGACTGGCATACTGATTAATCACGATCCTGCTCAAACACTCAACGTCTCAATTTTGGCATACAGGTTGATTCTAAGGTGTAGAGGTTCGATAAGAAGGGATTTTTCGAAATTCCAGTTCCAGGAGGGTTCCAAGAGGGTAAAACCACCCCTCAAATATTACAATATTTTTTATTTAAAAAACGGTCAAGTTTCCGAAAAAACGCTTAAACACGTATATTTTATTTTGTTACTTTACATATTTTAAGATTTTTTAAAAATGCATACAGGGTGTTTCGAAAAATCTGGTCATTGATTAATGACGATCCTGCTTAAAGCACTTGACGTAAAAAGCTGATTTTTGGAAAACAGATTAACTTTTGGGTGTAGAGGTTCGGTAAGAAGGGATTTTTCAAAACTCGAATTCTAAGGGGGTGAAACTATCCCTCAAATATTAAAATATTTTTTATTTAAAAACCGGTGAGTTTTTCGGAAAAACTCTTAAACACGTATATTTTATTTTGTTGTTTTGCATATTTTAAGAGTTTTTATAAATTTATACAGGGTGTTTCATAAAATATAACCATTGAGTAGTCACGGTTCTGCTTAAACTGCTTGACGTTTAAGCTGATTTTGGGCAAACGGATTGACTGTGGGGTGTAGAGGTTCGATAAGGAGAGGTTTCTCGAATCTCAAATTCCAAGAGGGGGAAAACGCCCCTCACATATTACAATATTTGTTATTTAAAAAACCGTTAGTCTTTCGGGAAAACGCTTGGCACGTATAATTTATTTTGTTTTTTTACATATTTTGAAACTTTTTAAAAAATCATACAGGGTGTTCCAAAAAGTTGGGTAATTAATTAACCACGATTCTGCTTAAACTGCTTGACGTAAAAAGATTATTTTTGGCAAACGGATTTTTTGAAAATCAAATTCCAACGAGATGAAATAATGGAAATTCTTGCTTTGCTTTAACATCACCATTACAAATGATTAATTCGACGCGAACGAAGTCGCGGGTACACGCTAGTAGATCTATTAAATCGCGGCGATTAACTTCCCTCTACAATCTACAATCGACAAATCTACCGATTTAATACGGTATAATAGGGCAAAACCGCAAGAAATGTGTGTGGCAGTGTAGATACAGGCAACACAATCAGGGCATCCCTGTAAAGGCCACGATACAACGGTAGCAGAATTCGGCCCTATACGATTTGTTACTCGTTTTGTGGATTTAGCCTAGAGACACAGCAAACTATAGAACACAGCCCATTCCTGCTACATCGCGCGGTCGCAGTACATACGTATCGCGCCTGCTATTTCCTATCTCCTCTTCCTTCCCTCCTGCAAAGCTTTTGCCGGCGTCTCGCAAACTATCGATCAGTTGACATTACGATCTCGAACGCGTTTATATCCGTCTTCATTTTCACGTAAATATTTACGAGTGATTAGATGATAACCCGGACAATGATGCGTCAAGGTAAGCCACAAGCAATTTTAACTTAATCTTGACTTTTCGGAGCTTTTTCGGTGTCGACTTTTGAAGCCGGTTTCTCGATGGTTTGGCGGGGTGATCGGCGCGATTCGAGCCGGGTCTAGCGGCATTTGTGGTGACTGGGCCGTCTCACCTTCGATGGAATTTTCCTAGATATTTCAGTGTTTACTTTCTGTAACTGACCTTTACCGGTCTATTTTGATACGATTGGTTATGTAATTTTAACGAATGTGTGACAGATATTACATAATTTTTAGTTTAAATTGTTACATTTTCTTTTATATCTACGCTACGCAATATTTTATCGAAATAACAGACACGTAAAAATTGATTTTTTAAAAAGCTAAACTAGGTTGATTTAACAATGGGTAGCAGTATGGTTGCTAACAACGTATTTTATTGATTTGCGTTACTGAAGACATATATATGTATGTTGTCTTTGTATTGTACTCTAATCAAATGATTTAACAAGGAAATATATTTTTGTTTTATTTTTATTGATCACAAAATTTTCTGTTAAATTCAATAATTATTAAAACTGTTAAAAAATTTCCACCACTTTATTCTTCAGGAGTTATTTAAAGCTTTTTGAGATACAATAAGATTGAAAAAAATCCGGCGTCGGCGATGACTATCAAATGAAGATCGCTGTCATTTTATGTGTAAAACTAATTAGTGAATGATCGATGTTCATTTCCAATCCAAATGAACGCCTTTTTTAAAATAGGAAGATGTCTACAACAAGAAATGAGAGATTCTATCAAAAACATAAAATCTCTAAAAATTAAAAATAGACTCCCAACGCATTTCTTCTTTCACAAAAAAGGTGTAAGATCTCATGTAAAGGCAAGTCAGTTATTTTTAGTGCCAATGGAAGAATCTATTCTGCAACTTTATTATTTATCATTATCGAATCAATTACCTACCAAATTCTTTGTGATCGTATTCATATCTTTATTTCTATAATAATTATAATGACTCAATATAATTATAAGAGATTAACTGGCCTACTATATCCATTACTAAGTACATCTAAACGATGGACTTAATTATAAATATTATAATTAGTAAAATATATGTATATATATGTTGCCTTGGAATTGCCAAGTGAAAAACTTAAAATGTATAACAATTAAAAATAGACTCTCAACGCAGTTTTTCCACTACAGAAAGGTGTAAGATCTCATGTAAAAGCAAGTCAGTTATTTTTAGTGTCAATGGAAGCACCTATTCTGCAACTTTGTTATTCTAATCAATTACCTACCAAGATTCTTAGTGATCGTATCAATAACTAATAGTAAATAACTAATAATAAATATAATAACTATTACTAAGTATATCTAAACGATCAACTTAATTATACATATTTTAATAATTAGTAAAATATGTTACCTTGGAATGGTCAAGTCATTATAATTATTATCGAAATGAAGAAGAAAGATGTTTAATGTTGGATACGGTCACTATAAATGGTGATAAGTAATTGATTACACAATAATTTCCTATTATGGTGTAACCTCCCTTACATAAAGATGTAATTGCCTAATTACAGAGAGATTATCTAAATGAATCTCCTATAATTAGGACAATTTTTGTCTATTATTGGCTATGTGGGCCCAAGTTTTCCCTACTAATTTCCTAATAATTTTTTCTTTGGTAGGTAATTGATTCGATAATGATAAATAATAAAGTTGCAGAATAGATTCTTCCATTGGCACTAAAAATAACTGACTTGCCTTTACATGATATCTTACACCTTTTTGTAGTAGAAGAAATGCGTTGAGAGTCTATTTTTAATTTTTAGAGATTTTATGTTTTTGATAGGATCTCTCATTTCTTGTTGTAGGACATCTTCCTATTTTAATAATCGACCGACTATTAATTGCATATCATAAATTGCAGCCGAAAAAAAGGCGTTCATTTGGATTGGAAATGATCATCGATCATTCACCAATTAGTTTTACACATAAAATGACAGCGATCTTCATTTCATAGTCATCGCCGACGCCGGCGCCGGTTTATTTTCAATCTTATTGTATCTCAAAAAGCTTTAAATAATTCATTTAATTTGTATCTCAAAAAGCTTTTAATAATTTGTTAATAATAATTTTTTTAACACTCCTGAAGAATAAAGTGTGGTAAATTTTTTAACAGTTTTAGTAATTATTGAATTTAACAGAAAATTGTGATCAATACAAATGAAACAAAAATATTTCCTTGTTAAATCATTCGACCAGAGTACAATACAAAGACAATATACATATACAGAGAAGACCAGGCTACTAGTAACATAGCAAGTTACCGGACGAATTTACGTTTACCCGTTTTGCGTTCGTACTCGAGAGTCACTGCCGGCTAGTCGGCTGGTCAAGCAGTACAAGATAGTTGCAGTTGTGCTTGGACGGGTCGGTCGTCACAGACTAGGAATATGACGCGAGGAGTGCCGTGTATTTATTATTTTCATTTTAAGTGTTTACCTTCACTTAAGGTAACATTTAAAATAAAAATACTTAAATATTTATTATTTGAGTGTGTTTACAAGCCAAAACTAAAAATATATAAATTTCTCTAATCCCAAAAAAACTATAATATTACTCTAAATAAAAAAAAGTTATAACAAGTGTTCAAAAGACCACCTTCTTGTGCTAGACAGAAACCTAGGCGGTCGTAAAATCCCCGTCTGACATTGGCTAACATATTAGGGCTAGTAGTTTGGAAAGCCTCTCGTATTTTTACTTGAAGCTATCCAGATTATTAGCCCTATTATGACCACTTGATTATGACACACTTTGGATTTTACATAACCCCACAAAAAGAAATCATTGGGAGAAAGATCTGGGGATCTAGCGGGCCACAAAATAGTTCCATGTCCACTAATTAAACGGTTGGGGAAAAGTATTGTTCACATATTCTTGAACAATACGGACATTGTGGGCAGGGCAACCACCTCAGCAATTTGATTACTTGAAAACGTGGGATTTTGATCCTCTGTAGCACAAACGAACACTTGCTTTAACTCCTGTTCTTCATTAATCAACACATCAGGCTTTTTGTGTTTTTGTGGGGACACGCACCCATGTGTTTCAAAATTATTAATAACTCTTGATATAGTAGGTAAAGATGGAATTGGCCTGTTTACAAAAGTTTGTGGAAAAATTGTTTGTATATCCCGATAAGACCTATTTTGGAAATACCATTTTAAAATTTGAATTATCTCACGAACTTCATAAACATTCATTATTTTACTTAAAAAATAAATTTTACACGAGAACTGTCGCGAGAATCTACGTATTCGTTTTGGCTATTAAAACACGAATAAATACAAATTCTGAAACATTCTTATCACATATCGACCTATTTTTATTTTATCGCATTTTTTCGCCTGCTTTTTATCCGGCGGACGGGTATACGCTAATTCGTCCGGTTCTGCCTATGTTACTACTACGGTGGTCCGGTCTGTATATGTCTTCAGTAACGCAAATCAATAAAATACGTTGTTAGCAACCATACTGCTACCCATTGCTGGGTATTTAGTTGTCCCAAATATATATCATCTTATATTTCCATTATTGAGTTATTCATTAGAACGTCTTTTGTATATACTAGTTCTTTCTACATTACTTTTTTTTGTTAATTAGTGTTTGCAGTTGAGTTATAACTCATCATACTCAGGGCTTTGACAAAGCCAGCTCCTAAGACCGTTTTACAGAGATTAGTTGATTATTTCCGATATCAATCGTACCAAAGTTTATGGCACGAATGGTTGTTGTATTGGCGCACTCAGTAATGAGGCGTTCTGCGTGTTCAAATATTAATCTTGTGGAATATATATCAACATAAAACGAGATGTAATTAACGAAATATCAACGTAATAACGGATGTTTTATAAACGTCTAGGTTTACTTATTTCACTGAGATTTATGAAAAAAACTCTTTTGCCTCGGGTACAAATACCGCCACGTTTTGGAAATAGCTGAAAACGAAACGAAATTGAACGAGCCAACAGGAAACGCCAAAAAAACCCTCCACGCCCTCCTCACGAGTAGTTTTCAGGCGCTTTTAATAATCGAAAGTAGATCGACACAAACCGAAGTAGCTCAAGACAATTGGAAGTTAACCGAAATTTGGGCGACGAAACGCGACCTTGACCTGCTTCGAAGAGTTCTCCGCATAGTGTAGAGCGTGTTTTACACATTATACTCTATTTTTTAGATTTTATTTTTTTGTATCCAATACCTTATTCAATTGAATCCTTATTTATTTCGTAATATTTACTAATACACTTGTTTTTTCTGTTATTTTCAGGTTACTAAGAAGCGAAGCGCAACTGCCGCAAGCCTTCAAGTTGCGCGGGGTGTTCCAGACAGCCACATGCTAAAATTGCGGCTGGTTTCGACACACTTCCTCAAGCAGCCATAGATTCGTATAATGTGTCGCGATAGAGATATGAATCCCTAAATTCAGCTTAGCATCGTAGTCTTTTTCGTCAAATTCATAGCTGTTACTGCGCCTTTATCATTTCTTATATCGTATCGTTATATTATTATATCAATCAAGCCTTCGTTCGATTCAAGCAACATCAATAATAACAACTTTAGTTTCATTATTTTGTTTAAACTGTGAAGGTTTTAAAACAAGGTAAGTCTACCTCGATCTTTTTCAAAATAATAATAGGATAGCAGCGGCACCTGGTAGAATATTGTACTATATCTCTAGTTCTGGGTGTGGGACCAACACTAAAATTGAGTTGACTTAGGGCCTACCAGAAACATTTTTGTATTATTAAAAACAATTTTCATATTTTTTGTTGTTTCATGTTTATTTTTTTATCATTTTTCTCACATTTTATCGACAAATTTTGAATATGATACATATCATATAATGGGCTAAACCACTCTGAACGTGCAACGCTTTATTTTTTATATTTAAGCAGAAAATTAAGAAAAATAATATATTCTCTTGAATGCTGTTAATGATTCTGATGTGGATATACAGGGCGAGTCTTAAATAAATGCAAATATTAACAATAGGGGTAGTATCTTGTTAGTATATTTCAACCCAGAAACAATAAGTCTTTGAGTTTTTTTAAAAAACTCTTTCAAAATGTTTTAATTTTAGGTACAACGGCAATACAGGGTGTCACAGAAATAAGTGCAAGTATTTTAACTGGTAGCATAGTTCAACCCCAGAAACACGCCTATGAGATCTTTATCGCTAAAATACATTTTTGAAAATTCGAAATTTTTTGATTTTTTTTAGTTAAAAAACATAATTTCTTGATAATATGACAACATAGGTATTAGATTAAATTTACAAGAAAGAAAATCCAGAAAAGATCTTGGTTTTCAAAATTTCAGCAAAAAATCATTTATTTGGAAATTTTCAAAGTAAAATAACTCCTTTATTTTGGACTTATTTGAAAAACGAGAAAGAGAAAATATGTTTCTTTTATTGAGATCTACCACCCCTTAAAATACTTGCACTTATTTCTGGGACACCCTGTATAGTAGTTTAATTTTACAAGAACGAAAACCCAGAAAAGATAGAGAGGTTTTCAAAATTTAACCAAAAAAAAACTTTTTTTTCTTATATCTTCAAAGTAAAATAACTAGGTTATTTTGGAGTTATTTGAAAAAAGGTAAAGACGATATTTCTAAAACTATTAAGAGTCCATTTCCATGATTTTCCATTGCCTTTTTTAACCCAACTTCAGCCAACTTTCTAATCATATGATTTTGTATAGAAAAACAAAACGGCGTCAGAGACGGCTGGGAATGACAATCGATGATAATTTTTATAACAAATTTATTTTTCTCAGGTGTAGTAAATCTCGGGTGTAGTTTAAAATTTGAGAAAAAAATATTTTTTTAGATTTGTATGTCTGTAAATGTTCTACATATCCTTTTTTATACTTTCTATCATTAATGTTAATTTTTGACAACTTTTAGTAAATGACATCTAGAGATTGACCTCGCCAACATTATGACCGACTGTCATACACCAGCCGTCTGTGACGCCGTTTTTTTTCGATCATACAGTAGTATTTCTAAAGAAATATAAAATTTAAATCATTTTGTATTTTTTATCATTAAAAATCAGTAGTTAATTAATTACTTATACAGGGTTGTTCTCCACATACGACGCGGAGTATTGTAGCTAAACTGTTAGATTTTTGAAAATTGTAAGTTTTGGGTTCGTTGAAGGACTATTAGAGCTACAATTTAAAAATATTTTTACAAGATACAGAGTGGCCCAAATAAATAAAAAATATCAAAGTTGTATTTTTTTAAATGGAACACCCTGTATATTATTACATTTTTAGTTTCTACAATTAAAATAAAGGTAAATTTGATTAAGGTTTACCGCATTTTAATCTTACCGTTTTTCTAGAAGTTGTGAAATTCAAAAGAAATTAGTCTAATTTAAATTTTAATATAGTAACATTTTATAATTAAATATTAATGAAAAATATTTACGTACATGCCTTTTTATAAAATTTTACTTGAATTTCTTGCACAATAAGGAATTTTAAATAAAATATGAATTGTAAAATTTTGTTATACAATATGACGAAAAAAACGGCGTCAAAGACGGGTGAGAAATGACTATCGATATTAATTTTGGCCAGGTCAAGCTCTAGACGTCATTTACTTGGCCCGTACTCGCTTACTCCCAGTTGGCCTTAAGGAGGCTGTAATTTAATTTTTATTGAATACAAATGATTTTTAAATGGTGTATAGGTATTTTAAAATTCGAATTTTTTGGAAATAGATTTCTGCGTCTGAAAAAGTTTTATCCTTTTTTAATCTTTTTATAATTAGTGTAATTTTTTGACCAGTTTTATGTCAATTTTTAGAAAATGACATCTGGAGATTGACCTCGCCAAAATAATTATCGATTGTCATTCCTGAGTCTTCTTAGACGCCGTTTTTTTTTTCGATCATACGGTATTAGATATAACAATAATACTTAGTGTCCCGTTATTAGTACCGATTATTACGTTTTTCATTTATTAATAAAGATAGACAGATTTTCGAATACTGTTAGACCATGATTAGTTTTTTGAAAAGACTTCTGGGTTTTTCGCCACTATAAAAAAATCTACAAAATAAAATAGTTAATTTATGTAAACACCAATGCGTTGATACAATGTAGACCAGATTTTCTATCAAGTAAAAAAATACCGACGGTAGAATTTAAAAATCAAAAGTTGTGCTCATTCGCGGTGCAACAGAAAGTGACCAAAAGAGTAATTGAGCAACATGAACTATGCTAACATAACAAATTTCGTTTTTTATTGAGAAAATAAAAAGTTATAGGGATGGTATATTTTTGAAACATCCAGTATATTGTTAGTTCAAAGAAATAAAGTTTTGACAAAAATATTCAATCTGCGCGAAACGTTGCATAAGTTAAAATAACTAAAGAATTTAAGCCTGAAATTCTTTTAGTTTCAAAGATAGTACTTTACGTAAGTATATACGCAAATGTAAAATTTTCTTTTTCTTAATTTCAGTTTATCAATCGAATTCTTCCACCGAATGATGAAAGGATCTGTCCCGAAGGAGGTGCCACAAAAACTAGTGGCCAGGATCGAACAGGAGCACAAAATATGCAAAGCGAAGAAAGTACAGTTGTCGGCTGTTTGCGCTGCATCGACCGCAGCGCCCGCGTCGGCTGCCGCTGTCACCAGAATGACAGCTCAGACGTTCGACGAGGCCAAGTCGACGAAAGCGCGCAAGAGGAAAGAGAGACAAGAGAGTGTCAGTAGCCTGTGTCAGGAAAGGAAAGTGATAAGGTGAGTTACAATGACTAAAGAACACTTCTTCATACGTTAGGACTAGGTTCTGTGTTTTCGTCAAGTGTTCCCTAGGAACAGTTGGGATGATGAATACCACCTTTCATATAGGTAGTCGTCCAGGCGGTCGAGGTGTGTTTGCTCGTTTCTCCACATGATCTCTCCACTCTTTTCTTAAGCGAGACTGCTCTTGATTTTACGGTCTTGGTCCTGGACTTGCACCAATAGCAAGACCAAGACTAGCGTTTGATTTGTAAGACCAAGACCGATCAGTGTAAGACTTCCGCAAGACCAAGACCAAACATGCAAGACTCTTACGTCTTGCATCAAATTAAATCGAGAAATTCCCGTGAAGTAACATTACTGATTGTATCGTTAATAATTCAACGGTGATGAAGAAGGAGACTTAAAGAAGACTTTTAAAGAAGAAGAAGAAAAAAAATATACACAATTTTGTTGCCATCATCTTCTAACTTACTGTTCCCAATAATTAGTTCTCCCTCATTGGCAGTTATAATGAATGTAGAAGGTAGAATGTTTAGGAGGAGAGTTAATCACCGCGACCTTACAGATCTATTGTGTGTTTCCCTTTCTTGAGTTATAACGAGTTATAACTCACCATGCAGTCTCAGGGCTTTAACTAAAGCCAGTATCTGAGAGGGCTTCGCAGAGGTCAGCTCTCCATCCTCACATCAGCCGCACCAAAGTTCATGGCTTGAACGGTCGTCGTTTCGGAGCACTCAGTGATAAAGTGTTCTGGTGTTTCCCCACTGGATCTGTATTCGCCGTTGTTTCTCAGCTTCGGCCTACTGAGGTGTTTGTGGAGGAGACAGTGTCCTGTTAGAAACCCCGTGACAATCCCCGAAGATTGTTTTTACTTAAATCAAGGAAAATCTTTAATTTTTCTCGGTCGTAAGTTCTGAGGAACTTTTTCGAGTGTCTTAGACCGTTGGCGGTCTCCCATTCCAGGTTACGGATAGTCTCCCATGTCTTCAGTTCCGCTTTTAGGTTTTCAGTTTGAGCACTTTCGAATTGATGGTTACTGAGTTGATCGCGTTTAGTGCTGCTTGACTATCAGATAAGATGGCTATTTCCGGTTTTCGATAGTTCCTATCTAAGATAAATTGTACGCATCTTTCGATAGCGTAGATTTCTACCTGAAGGATGCTGGGGTAGGTGCCCATTGATTCGGAATATTTAGTATTCGGCCTAAATACTCCTACCCCTGTCCCTGCTTTGGTTTTGGAAGCATCAGTATACCACGTTATTGTTTGGTCTTTTACATGCTGGGCAAACATTTCTCCCTTCCAATTCTTTTTATTACTCAATACTACAGTGAGGTGTCTCTCAAAATTTTAAATTCTTGGTATGTCATCCACTGGGAGTTAAAGAAGTGGAATTTTCTTTTTGAGGGTGTTCCAAGCCCCTGCGATGCAGATGCATGCCAGTCTCTGTAGTCTAACTTTGAAAGACAAAAAGGGGAAAAAGAAGATTAATAAACAAAAAGGAGACCTTAACTTAAAATGATTTACTTATCTTTTCTAGTGGCGAAAAAATTTAGACTTTTTTCAACCTATGCATGAACTGTTTCTTGTTTATAGATCAAACTCAGAAGAGAGACCTCACCCGACAAAATGCACCGACTCCAAATCCACCTCTATACGTCGAGTGTCCAGTTCTGGAGATTTCCCCAAGTCCGAGGGAGAAGACAAGAATGGACATTCGCCGAACCGTATCCCTTTGTCGGACAAAACTCTCACCTACGATGACCACGAGCACGAAAGGAGGAGGTCGCACGAGAGGTTCGCCAGGCCTCATACGCTCAAAAGCAAGAAGTACCCTGGGAAGAGGTTCAAGGTGCGATGCGTATCCAAGGTGAAGGTTAAGAGTGAGATGGTGTTCTCAGAACGGGAGGTTTTGAAGAAGACAACATCTAATGGGAATACAGGTGAGCTTTCTAACAGGGTGCAAAGAAATTATGATTTCAAAATCAAAAAAAATCGATTTTTTTTTAATTTTAATCAGATTTTTTTTAATCAATTTTTTATTTATATCGGATTTTCAGCTAATTAACGACTCATATCCAGTTAAAGTCCTATCCTAAATAGCAAAATCTTCGTGACTCTGCCCGATTCCGACTTATCATACTAACATTCCTACGCCGAATGTCGTTTTTCCACATCGGCATCGGTCACCTACTTATTTTATTCTATAACTTTTACCAATGCCTCTATTTCATATAAGCTCCCGTATAAAGCGTTTAACGCCTTGAGAGTAGCAAGGTACAACTTGCCATACTGGAGCCGTTCGGTATACAAGGAAGGTAATGTGGTTAGCATTACGCTTCAACCGCCTATTATTACCTCAGGATTGTGAATCCCAAGTACTCATTTAAGACTGAGTCGACCTAGGTACCCAAACTATTGTTATTTTATTAAAAATAGTCGGCTGTGGAAACAGTCATGACTGTCTTAAATCGAGAATAAAATTAGTACCATCTAATGTTCAAAGTACTTAGTGCAGAACAAAACGTCGGTAGAAATTTGGAAAGAATTAAAAGATAAATTGGAGGAGGTCCAAGTTAGCTTGATCAACATACAAATGTTTCAAAAAAGATATAAAACAACCTTGACACCAGCATATTTTTTGACATTGATTATAGATACTCTGGAATAAATATATAATCTCACATCAGAAGAAACTAATTCTCCATTAGAGTTTGCAAATGAAATGTATTGGAATACCAAATCACCATCACCATTTCAAAATAAATCTCCAGTCAATAAATCTAATCCGCCGTTTAGAACTCTAATGGATTATTAAGAAGGTATATGTGTTATATCTTTTACAATTATTTCTCAGTGTAGTAAAAGTAATTAAACGTTACAACAGCAAGCGTAATTTTTTATTTGGTGAATAGATATAGGGTATATTTGTTATAGGAATAGTTTTTTTATAGCTTTATTGAAAAAGGTTTATAACTTTTACAGTTATTTTTCGATTTATAAATAAAGTTTTTAAACAAGTTGATATTTAAATCCATGATTAAGATTAAAAAAAATGATTTAAATCAAGTTGATTTAAATATCTGCACCCTACTTTCTAACATAAACGACAATTTTGTTGAAGGGGATCTACCAATAGTTGTATTTCTTACTGAACTAATATAAGTTTGTATTGTCTTGGTTACGCTTACCATAAATAGAGGCATCTTTTGGGACATTATTTAAAATTATTTAATTATTATTATTAACCGGAATTAAGATGTCATACTTTCCTCTACCTTTTATATTTATAGGTAACAACCATGAAATACAACAGAAGTGAGTAATAATACCGTATGATCGAAAAAAATGGCGTCCAGTTGGCTTGGAAATGACGATCGATGATATTTCCCATATAATTTTACATATAAAATGTCAACGATCTTCATTTCATAGCCATCGCTGACGCCGTTTTTATTCGATCATACGGTATAAAATGAAAATGGACACTCATCTAACTACTGTAATAATTTATTTATATCATTAATATCACATATAATACATTTACAAGAGGACAGTTTTATCGACATCCCCGGTTACTATATTTTTCTGTCCCAACCACTGAAGATATTTTTATAGGTATACCTTTTTTCTTTAGGTGGAAGCAATGCTTGTCGTGCTTCTTCAGTTTTTTCTTTCATTTTAATGGAAACGTACTCGAACACGAGCCGAAATCGTGCGAAAGACGTATTTTTGACAAAAAAACTGCACTGGACAACAAACCGTCAATTTATAAATAGGTTTATTAATATAATAGTAACCTGGCAACAAACAAAGTTCCTAGCAGCGTTATTACAAATATACCAGAAGATTGATAAATGCAGCATTTGTGTCGTTTTTTTGGGACAAATAATATACCAAACAAAATATACCACGGGAATTATGAACTGTTAATAAAATAGGGCAATTATTGAACAGAAACTTTGCCCTCGGTAATTGACACCCTTATATATTCTATTTTTCTAGTTGAAAACTATACCTTACATTTATATTTGTTGTAGATTTGGAACAACATTCAATCATCACCCACGCCGAGTTCAAAGACCAGGACTCGTTGAACTCCACAAACTTCTTGAGTTTGCGACCAGTGGATATAGATCGCTCACCAAGCCCTACCCACACTCCTATATCACCAGTTCTGGACTTTTCCACACTCCACGAACAGATTGATTGCAACGAACCAGTTGTATCCAGACCAATTCAAGTAGAAGAAAATACGGAAACCCTACCAAGTCTCTCCGTAGCAACCAACAGATTGCTTTCATCCCCGAGAAACTCTATCATAGCTACACACAGGATTTATCTTGATCCTGATGTACCCCAAACTAACTCTTCACTGGAGAAAATTATACAGAACCCCATTGAAGAAAAGGTTCAGAAAATAACCAAGCACATTAATAGTTACAAGAAGAAAATCAAAGCTTATGAGGCGGAGTTTGAAGTTAAGAATGGTTACAAACCTTCGCAGATAGATAAATTAAACGATGGTACGCTGAGGAAGTACTATACTGAACTAAGTAAGCTGAAGAAAGAGCAGAAACAGTTTTCTGAGATATCAGCTAACTGTCCTATGATCGATTTGACTGGGAAAATGATACAAAGTATAAAGGCTATAAGTTTGAAAGATACTGTAAATGAAATTGAACAGGTAAGTGTGTTTTAGTGAATCTACACACTAAGGTTTATTATTAATAAACAATATTAATATAAAACATTATTATTATATAAAAAATGCAATTAAAATTAATAGAGAAAAAAATAGCAAAAAAATACGTGTAGAAAACAATAACTAAAAGTAAAAACTATGAAATACAAATACACCAAGTAAAAATTATTTTTGTTTTGAAAAATTCGACAATATTTTTGTATACAGTTATAAACTTTCAGTTACGTGATTAAGCTTGACCGGTACAGCGTTGCCCACTTTTACATATTTTCTTTTAATCAAAATATTTTAGGAAACAAAAATAAATTAATTATAAATCACCTTCTTTTTCATAAGGGACATAAAGGGCCGGCCATTACTACCCATACAGCCACGGTACGTACTATGTACGTACCTGGTACGTAATGTTGGGATGAACGTCAGGTCCCTGGTACGTACAAGTACGTACAGGTATGTACTATGTACGTACTAGAGACATACATTTTCCAACGCTTTGTACGTCCCCGGTACGTTCTTGGGATGTGGTAAAGTACGTACTATGTACGTCGCATGTACGTACATTCCAGGTACGTACATTTTATGTTTTGTTCCGGACCAAAACTGGATGTAAATTGATCGAAAGTACGTACAATGTACGTATTATGGACGTACATTTTTCAACGACGTATACGACCTAGGAATTTAATTAGAAATAATTCAATGGAAGTCAGCTTAAAATATTTATTAATATAAAAACTCCGATACAGGGTCATCCTTTATGTCTTGATACACCCGTGAGTCTGGATTCGGTCCGGCAACTACACCCTCTTTTATTGGATGTCGATAGATATTTAATTTTTTTATTATCGAACTGCTTCTAACTAAAAAATACAAAAAGAAAACTAAGTATTAAAATATCTAATTCTTGCCTCTGTTTGAGCCGATTCTCAATCATTCGAGGTTGTGACTGTGCTAGGTGAAACAGTCACATTAGATGTGGCAGTGTCATGTAATTCATCTGATGATTCCCCACTTTGAGATACACAACATAAGTTATCTCGAGGGTTATCTGTTTCAGTTTCGCTAATGTTAAGATGTGGAAGAGAATCTTCAGACTGTAAATCAAGAACTGAAACATCTGATGTGCTATGTTGATCATTACAAGGTTGAAGGAAAAATGCCTGATTAAATGAAGCAGGCTGCCTATTTTGATTAGGGTATAGAGCCTCTCTTGAAGAGCTCTTTCAAACCGCTTAATTTGAACATTTGCCCTTTTGTAATATTTGCTAGAAGTATCTTTGCGCCACATTATATTATTAAACTTTAACTTACCTTGAAAAGTACCATAAGGAAAGCACAGAGGCACAAAAACCAGAGAGGGCCCCGGTTACCACTACAGTCGATAATAAGAAACTTAATCGAGGGCTTCGCAATTTGATGTAGTAGTAAATAGTACCATGACACCATGACACCCACTCACAACACAATCGAAAATCGAAAACTGCGGAGTAGGTGCGCACTCAGTGTATTGTTGTTTTTATTTTTTAACGTTGATTAATATAAGATAAAAACGCCCGACTTCCAATTCCTACAAGACTCGAATGTGAACGAATAACTTAGCGGGAAATTTAAACATATGACTGCATAATTTTCCTGTTTTAGCAGCTTGATTGCATAATATATTGCATTTTTAATCCATCAGATTGCTTCAAAGGCTGTCATGCATAATGATCATTGGAAAATTTAGGAAATCATTTTTTTATAGCGGTCGGGTTAGATTTATTAATAAAAGAAGTTGAGGTAGGTTAAAGTGACTTGAATTAACGTTAGCCTAGAAAAGATCCACTGATCCAGTCCATTAATTATTATTAGGTATATCTGACCAAAATAATCCAGTCATGATATTAAAATTAAATAACATTTTGTAATGCGTTGTCAAAAATTTTCAAGGTACGTAGATACGTAGTACGTACTCGCATGTACGTCCGTAGTGAAGTCCTATAATGTACGTAAATAGTACATACATGGGGTACGTACTATGTACGTACACTTTTTACGTACGTAAAATGGACATAAAATGTACGTCCCTGGGACGAAGTGTGCTGTATGGGTACCGCTTTCCCATTCAAAATATTCCAATAAAGTTGCGATGAGTTTTTACTGCTATTAAGCTATCTACACTAAATCAAAAGTTGTTCTAAAAGTTGTTCTAAAAAGAACAATGTTCGACTGCAAGGTCTGCTAGCAAACATTTTAAGCTTAAAGTATCACAACACTATTTATTTAAACCAAAAACTCGTAATACAAAACTAAAAGTGTTCAAACGAATGACAACGTCAGGAAATAAATAAATGCGGCAACTTGACATTTTTTAGAGCAGAGCTACCACCTGAATCCCCACCGCGAAATTTAAATTCCAGTTAGTCAGCACGGCGCCGAATATCTCCATGGTTGGCAACAATGAATTTAAAAATCGCGCCCTCGATTACGTAACTGAAAGTTTACTTGATATCAAATATATACTCGTAAGTTTCATGTCTATAACGAATGGTTTTTGAAATAAATAGAATTAATGAATGAATGATACAAGGAGAAATGACTAATACGCCACTTTTGTTGAAATTGAGTTATTTATACCTTCGAAATCAGCGAATTTTTCTGCGTCGATCTACTTATGTTTCATCCTAATAATCCTATGGTTTGGCGCATTAAACATTTTAAATTTTGAATAAATTACGAGAAACATAATGTCTTAAGCAACAGAGTTTCAAAATAAAACGGACAAACAGGTCTTCTGTAAAGTTACGATGGCTTATTAGCAGTTTCTCCTTTCAACCGTCGATGTGCAACCTAGAAATAAACAAATATGTATCTAAAATTAACAATCATAACAATCTTTAATAAACAATTCATATTTATTGTTTACAGAAATTATTGCAAAAACGTGAGAGTGGCAAACGTGGTTTCAACTTGGAAACTATGACGTCAGAACAACTGATGGATGAAAAGGTAGCAATGCAGAAGGCTTTGCTATTTTTGGAATCTATACATGGAAGACCTCAGATCAAACAAGACAGAGATCTGGTACGGCCCTTCTATGACAGGTACAGGATTTTGAAGAGGATGGTTGCTAAAAATTCAATAGTAAGTTATTGTTATTGTGATTGCTTGTAATTGTAAATATGTTATACACAGAATAATACACAGCATACAGGTAATACCCCAGAATTTACACCTTTTATATACCGGTGCATATTATGTACAAGTACTAAGGCAGCTGACATCCTGTCATGACTTCTTGGACATAAATATCACCTTTCTTTGTCAGTTTTGGACTTGGTTTCTATTGTGATGTTTCAAGATCATACGTCATCATCATTTTATTTATCGTCATCAGCGTATTCAACCATTTCCAATTATCGTGTAGCTTCCATCACATATGTAGATACTCTTTTTGTAGTTGGGCCCATTGTTGTCTATTGTTGGCTATGCGGGCCGAAGTTATCCCTACTATTTTCCTACTATCATGATCCCATCTCAGGTTTGGTATTTTTCTATGTCTCTTAATTACTCATGGGTACTATACTGGAATTTTTGTAGTTATATGTTGTCCGTCCTACTTGTCAGGTGTTCTGCCACTTGAGGGAATTGCTTCTGTTGACATGTCTTACCTGTGTCTTTTGTCGTATCCACTCTTTCTTTTATGGTTCTTCTTGATTCTCTTTTTCTTCTCGTCCGTTAACTCTCGAGTATGGTGACATCATGTTTCTATTGCTCAGATCGTTGTTCTCAATCCCTCTCTATCTTGAGCGGCTATATAGAAGCCTCTTGCAGGCCGTGACCAATAATTTCTTTGGTTTGATCCATAATTTCTTTGGTTTGGTCCACCCAGCGTAACGGAGATCTTCCTCAGTATTTCTCGAAATGTGCCCGAAGTACCTAAGGTATGACTGGTTTATTTTGGTTGAAAGTCTTGTGTTAACTTTCAACTGCCTTAGAATTGATACGTTGGTCCGATGTTCTGTGTATGAAATTTGCAGCATTCTTTTGTAGGTCCACATTTCGAAAGCATCTATTTTTCGTCTGTTTGTAGTTTTCAGAGTCCAGGTCTCTGATGCATAAGTAGCGACAGGAAAGATCAATGTGTTTACTAATTTTAATTTTTTGCGCTGGGATATTGCAGTCTTTCCATATTCGTGTTAGTTTGATAGTCGAGTTACGAGCTATTGCTAGTCTGCGTTTGATTTCCTCGTCACAGCCTCCCTTGTTTGTTATGAGGGATCCGAGGTAATTGAACTTTTCAACCACCTCAAAACCATCAGTCTCCCTGATGTTAGTAGGATTTCGGTCTATTATCATGACTTGCGCTTTCCTTTTGTTTAGCATAAGACCGTATTCCGCACTGATCTTACTCAATCTTCTCATTATTTGAACAAGTTCTTCCTCAGAGCATGCAAGAATTAAGGTGTCATCGGCATACCTAAGGTTTGTGATCTTTTTTCCACCTATCGTTAGTCCGCCTCACCATCCCTGTAAGACTTTTCTCATTATGTACTCTCCATAGATAGTTGAAGAGTATGGGTGATACTATACAACCTTGTCGAGCGTTGTTGAGTTTGAGTTTTCCGGAGCTGTTTTCGTAAAGATATTTTAGTAGAAATATAACATGTTTTGGTACTCCCATGTTTTCTAACGCCAGCCCCAGTTCTTCCACTTTACACAATCAAAAGCCCAACTGTAGTCGACGAAGCATAAATAGGTTTTAACACTAAGTTCATATGCTTTTTCAATTATCTTCTTGTGATTACTACCAGCATATTTCGTTATGCAACCTGTAGCTTTAAGTTAAGTGTCCAGTTCGCATGCATACGTCATGACTGGTAGTACACATTAGTTGAATGTTTTCTTCTTTAGATAAAGTGGAATTCTAGATTTTAATATGATCGAGTTTCTTCCATAAGTAATCCAACTTAATTATTCTGTTTGATTTCTGGTTGTAGAGATCCCGAGCTGTGTATTATTTGTCCTATTTATATTCTTCTACTATTTCCAGTGTTGTGTTATTTATTAGAATGTCTTTTCTGTCTTGTCCAGAAATTTATTCCCACAAGCATCTTAACCTATCAGAAAACTATCTCAAATAGTTAACCGAATTATTATTCTATGTTTTTTTGTTTATCACATATCTATTACTTGGTGTGATCAACTACATTTGACAAGTTTCTGAGACGGGTTTGGATGCCTGTGGGAACAAACCTCATTTTGTTGTACATGGTGAGTCAACGATAGAGTAAACACATTAGTCCATTATCTCATTTGTTTCGAGGTTTACAAAAAAATGTTTAATACAAAAGTTATAGGGATGGTTAAGATACACATTTTAAAATTATTATGCAGTATACAGGGTGCTTCAAAACAGTGTGGCGAATATAACATATGTTTTTTTAAATGCAACACCGTATTTTTTATTTTTAGATTCTGCGTAAAATTCCGTAACTTTTTTATATATAATGTTATATACCTAAAATTAATAGTTTTTGTTATATTTAAATTTATTTAAACAAATGTTAGGTTGCAATGTAATGAAAAATTGTCAATGATGCCATTGATTCTGAAGTTGGACAACTAAAATTTGAAAGGAGAATTTTATAGAGATATAGAAAAAGACCTATGTAAAGATATTTTAGTTAGATGTTACAGGGTGTTCAAAATATATTTATGAATTTCAACTACTTAAAATTAAGAAATTTCAATTTTTTTAAATGGTACACCCTATATATTATCATTTTTTCTGATAGATTTTACAAAACTCTTCAACTTTTATTAAGTATGTCATATACCTATTTTTATTACTTTGCGATTTATTCCAATTTTTTTCTATTTTTACCGATATTTTTAATACAATTGCGCTATAACATCATAGTTACCACGACAAAAAGTAACAATTATTACAATTTCATGTCTGTTAAGCAAGTTAAAAACAAAATTTGAATTTTAGTTTAATTTGTTGTAATAAGTATAAATGGTAGAGATAATAGTTACAGATTTTCTTGAAATGAATTAGTCAATGTGACTGATATACACGGACAAGCCTAGGAAACCACATTTTTTGATTCAGTACTATATATTATATAGTACTTTGCTAACTACTATAACAATAGATGTATATTATCTAGAAAACATCTTCAGTGAGTAATGGGACGGTTTCGCGTCAGTAGTAATATTGGCTGTACCAAATGAAATATAAACCAGAATTACTACGAGAAAAAACTTCATTGTATGTCGAAGAAAATTTCTATATTAGTAGTCTTCAGCAATTAGTTAATCTAGTATTACCCTAATCTGTGGCTATTCGCCCCGACGAAAAATCCCAAGTATCATCTTTCGTAATACAGAAATACACCAAGAAATTCACTACTGCGATTTAGTTTATTTGAGTAAAGTTAATTAATTTTAACTAATACCAGCAATTGTAACTAACTATGAAGCTACTTGTTAAAGGTAAGTAATAAATAGTTTTGTTTTGTTATGGTAACTATGATTTTATAGGGTAATTGTATTAAAAATATGGGTAAAAATAGAAAAAATGGGAATAAATCGCAAACTATTAAAAATAGGTATATGACATACTTAATAAAAGTTGAAGAGTTTTGGAAATTATATTAGAAAAAATTATAATATATAGGGTGTCCTATTTAAAAAAATTGAGATTTTTTAATTTTAAGTAGTTGAAATTCATAAATATATTTTGAACACCCTGTATCATTTAACTAAAATATCTTTACATATATCTTTTTTTTCATCTCTATAAAACTCTCCTACCAAATTTTGGTACTCCAACTTCAGAAACAATGGCACCACTGACAATTTTTGACCACACTGCAATTTAACATTTGTTTAAATAAATTGAAATATTGCAAAAACTATTAATTTTAGGTATATAATATTATACAGGGTATCCCAGAAATAAGTGCAAATATTTTAACTGGTAGTATAGTTCAACCCCAGAAACACGCCTATGAGTTTTTTTTTGCGAAAAAAAAATGTTGAAAATTTAAAATTTTTCTTGAAATTTGAAAAAACTTTTTAGTGCCACTTGTTTATTCACCTGATATTTCTCTACGGTGTATCTAAACCTTGCAGTGTTGCAACCTCCTATGTTATCCACATTCTACATAGTTTTACATTTATAAATTCATAGAAAAATTTCTACTCAAAAATTAGGAATGTTAAATTTTTATCAGTGCTCATTATTAATAATTATTATAGAAAAAAAACACATTAATTATTTTTAGTCTTACCCTTTCAATGAAAACTTAACAAAAACCACCGAAAATTAACTAAAACATTACGTTTATGATGTTTACGAAAATGATTCATCATATTATTCACAACCAGGTCACAAAAAAGAAATTCCTAAAATGTTTATCGTAATTTAGAATTCAATATTTGTTTTCTTTCATGTTTCTCTGTTTTATTTGAACCACTGATTTACAAAACACCTTGAAAAGCGCACATTACTTTGAATACCGTCTCTTATCGCCACTTTACGAACTACTTTCAATCTAAGACATGTTTCACTCACAATTTTAAATACGTATTTTGTTTTTTCGCTATTTTTTCGATGTATTTTGACAGCCCAAATGTCGCGCGTCGGCCAAGAGTGCCACGTGAACTGGTCCTTTGAGCCGCGCCGTCGTGGCAGGCTTGCGTCAGACGACGATGTTAAGCAACGTTGCCGTAGTTACAACAATTTCAAATTCAAGACATTCGAAGCAATCAAATTTGTATTAAATTTTAAAAATAGAACAGAGAAACATGAAAGGAAACAAACAAAACGAAAATGAATTGATTATTCGTCGGGCTGTTTTCGATATATTGAATTCTGAATTACGATAAACATTTTAGAAATTTTTTTGTGACCTTATCAATAATCAATTCATTTGTGTTTTGTTTGATTCCTTTCATGTTTTTCTGTTTTATTTTTAAAATTTAATAAGAATTTGATTGCTTCGAGTGTCTTGAATTTGAAATTGTTGAAACTACGGCAACCTCGCATGACGCAAGCTCGACACGCCGGCGCGACAAAGAAGCAGTGAGCAGTTACCAACCAGTGATGCGTGGCTGTTTTGGCCGACGGTTGGGCTGTTGACGGAATTGTCGAAATACATCGAAAAAATAGCGAAAAAGCAAAATACGTATTTAAAATTGTTGAGTGACACATGTATTTTCTTAGATTGAAGGTAGTTCGTAAAGTGGCAGTAAGAGACGATAATTCTCAACATTTATTCATTCAGAAAGATATTCAAAGTAATGTGTAATGTGTGCTTTTCAAGGTGTTTTGTAAATCAGTGGTTCAAATTGTGATGAAGCCTATATGAAAATAATGTGTTAAGTTAAAAATGGGGACTATTATTTTAGCAGTTTTTATAATAGCACGTACAAGTAAAGCAGCACAATGAAGTGTATTTTAGTTAAGTGTGTATCGAAAAAGAGAACTGTCGCAGTTACATCGATAAGTATCTTTTTTAATGTTGGGTAAGTTTTTTAATTTAACTTTTAAACATTTAACTTTTAATTTATTTTATGTAATAATTATTACTTGTAAACATATACTTTCTTGTCCATATGGCAACACAGTGCGTCGAATTAACTGAAATCCGGGCTTGATCCGGGTAATTGGATGTAGTTGGCAATATCTGCCGGCGGTTCTCAAAATGTTAAAAAAATTTCAAAGTTAAATAACTCGGTTATTTTCAATTTATTTTAAAAATGGTAAAGAGAAAATATGTTTATTTTGACCAGATCTACCACCCCTTAAAATATCTGCACTCATTTCTGGGACACCCTGTATATAAAAAAGTTATGGAATTTTATGCAGAATCTAAAAATAGAATAAAAATGGGGTATATAGGGTGTTGTATTTAAAAAAACATATGTTATAGCCGCCACACTTTTTTGAAGCACCTTGTATACTCTATAATAATTTTAAAATGTGTATCTTAACCATCCCTATAATTTTTGTATTAAGCATTTTATAGTAAACCTTGAAACAAATGAGATAATGGACTTTACTCTATCGTTGACTCACCCTGTACATGACTTTAGTTTTTGCTCAATCATTTTGAGGCCTACTTTATTGCTGGCTGTGTTTAGTTCGTTAATTTGTGCTTGTAGTTTTCAGGACTATTGGCAATAATTAAGACTTCAGGACTATTGGCAATAATTCATCAGCGCAGTTGACGGAAGGTTTCTTCTAGTGTTGCTATAAACAGCTATGGGGATGTCGCTTCTCTCTGTCGTACTCCTTTACCAGTTGGAAACTCTGGGGTTATTTTATATATCATTACTCTATTGCTTTGGCTTTTTTGTATATTATTATTAAGGACAATTAAATTTTCTTTTTAATTTTTCTTTGTAGTCTGGTCCCATTGGAGAACTGGCAACAATCCACGAAAACGAAGCCATGCACTTCGTCACACCCACATCGTCATCTAACGACACCGAATCGGAACAAACAGAATACGTACCACCAAGTGGTCCCACACCAACCAACAACACTGACAGTGAAACGGACACCTCCCTGAGTGAAAAACTTCACTCCATGTCCAAAATGGAACTACTAGAACAGCTCAGACTGACCACAGAAGAGAAGAAAGTCCTCAAAAGGAAGATTAAGGAGTTCGAGTTGAACTTGCAAGCTAAATCTGGCAAAATGTTATCCAAGGAGGACAAAGTACCGATGGAACATGTTTACGCAGCATACAGAGCGACGAAAAGTCGATTAAAGTTGTTAGAGGCCTTGGTCTCGAAGCAATAAAGAAAGGTATATACAGGGTGGTGCGGTTTTAATAAAATAAACCTCTTTAGGTAATGAAAAAAGCGATTTTGAGTTGAGTAATTTATATAAACTAACTCGGTACCGTCTAGCAGTGAAGTAAAGTAAGAGATATTTTGTCAATATTATGGTATGGATGACTGATTGGCCGAATGATCTGGAACGATTGAGGCCAATCAATTTAACAGTTTTGTAGTCATTTCTTCTCTATATTTTTTTTTACATTTCGATTTCCAAATTTGAATAATTTTGGACAAGCCGATTTTAAGTAATTTAAGAAAAACTGCATCTTTTTTAAATTCAAACTGAACAGGTAACAATGCGTAACCAGGCAAATGTCAACATGGAGTTCTTGAGATTTTTAAATAGAATAACAACTATGTAAAAAACTGCGCATACTAATATACCTAATTCATACAAAACGTAGATAAGAGATAATATGATTTTATAGATTTAACTATGATTTATAAATATGATTCAGAAATACGTATTTCAAATTGTGTTATAAGGTGTGTCATTTTTATTTTTTTGTTTTAGTGATACATATCATTTTATTGCTTCAGTCACTGTTTTATCATTCGATAATATTCTTATCGTATTGACAAAAGATAATATTTTTTTTTACTAAAAGGTTCCAATTAGTTATGAAAACCACTTCCATAATTTACTTAAAACTGAATTATAGTATATTATAGTACCATTTTATACGATCATACAGTATAAATAAGATCCCTGTTTATAAGAACTGTTCAACCCAAAATCGCGTCTGTAGTTTTTTTTTAAACTGGGACACCCCGTTCACAATTCTGAAAAAAAAGTAATATTTTTAAGACCTGTTCTGTTAATACCAATATTTTCGATGTATTTTTAATAGTTGAATAGGTCTCTAACCATTTTTACATGACTTTGGTGTGTTTATATCTAGATATTTTACTATTTATTCGATATAATATAATACTTTTTATAATTATTAGTACCAGTTTGATAGAAATCTTTACTTATTATAAATGCATGTGCAGTGGAATCCACCTATACTGAACTTACAATAACGCTTACAATAACAAAATAAGTATTCCATCTTACTATAAAAATGACCGGTAGAAACACACAACAAACAGAAAGAAACTAAAAATAGTTAATTATTTTCGCTTACAACGTTACCAATAAATGCACTGAATAAAAACAGCGTCATAATAGGCATAGATAAAACATTTTCAGTGCGAGCTTTATTATGGATTTGTTCTCATAGGTCAATCACGAACAGGCAGAGTCAATCATATGTCGAAATTTATGTATATATTGTATATAAATGATTCTGAGTGGCTCTTATTGATTTGTGATGGTTCTGAGAAAAAGTTTAAGCTCGAATCTAAACCGGATATAGAATAAACTAACTATTTCTACACTTTATATAGTACCTTTGACGCTAAATTAGGAAAACTGTTATTGTATAAACTGCTATTATGTACATTTAAATAATAATGTGTATTCCTCTTTAAGTGATACTATTTTTAATGTTAAAACACGTACCTTGAAATACTATATATTTATTATCAAGGTGAAATGTTTTGTATAAATATCTTGCCAAAATAATGTTAAATAAGAAGACATGATTCTATAAGAACGTTTAAAATATTATGTATAATAAGACCTCTGTACCTACTTAAGATGTAATGGAGTATAAAAAAAGGTATAGTATAGCACCAAATATAAAATATTACAGGTTTGACATTACAATCATCAGTACCTAGTTTAATTAGGTACCCTTGTTGTCACCATTTAAGTCTTCCTATTCTAGCACAAGTTCTCAAAGCAATCAAAATAACCATCTTCCAGAATTCTGTTTTATAAAAATTAATTTTTATCATATATGTTACCAAATCTATCTCTTACTATTTATTTCATTTTTTAATATTTAAATATTAAGAAAGATTATATTATTATAATCTCCCTTTAAAGTTAGATAATTAACACCACAGCCTGTTTGAAACCAGCCTGTCTATTTAGCCTATAATTTGTATGAAATAGGTTGGGTTCTGAGATCTTTTGAAGCTTTTTGTTTAAACAAATGATTCAGACTGTGGATACTGTGACTGCTGCCATGTGTATCAGAATAGGCGCAGAAGGAAACATGAGGATACTCAAAAACAGGCGAAGGTGACCAGCTGGTACTAAATAAGCTGTGCTTATAGCTATTAATCTATTTTAAAGACATTTTTAAATATTTCGAAGAAGTTATTTGATGCTATACTAATATACTTATCTGTTCAAATTAACAATATCTCATACTAAGTCAAAACTAAAACTTCATTCAGAACTTCGAAATTAGCGGAATAAATTAGTGGTTTAAATTATAGCGCTAGCGTTTGGCCCTCTAATTTCAATGACACATTCGATCAGAACGTCAAAATTATTGATAGTAATTTTCAATTAGTAGAAACAGTTAACAACTTTTTCTACTACTAAGACCACAATTTCTCTTGATGGATGATAATCAAAGACCAAAATAACATTCCTCGCAAATTTTGAAGTATAATTAGTGGAACAGTGAAAAGTTTGATAATTTTTTTCTACTAATTGAAAATGTCGACCACTAATTTTGACGTTCTGAATGCTTATACTACATTGAAATTAAAGGAACTACGCTAATTGCGAGGTTCTGAATGAAGCTTGAGGGTTTAATGTGTATAAATTTATTAATATTATACAGAGAACTCTTACAGAGATCGCGAGTTTAAAAAATGTTTCCAACAAAGATATTGCTAATTTGTCAGTTATAATAATATAAGCGAGACCCAACAAAAAACCTAGAAGTACAACCATTTTCAAAAACAAATGTTAAATTGTACATTATACTATAGAGTATTTCCATTAGGTTGCTCAAATTAGCTCCTATATGTTGACAATGTAATATAGAGAATATACATACATGTTTAATATAACTGGTTCAAGAAAATATGCATGATAAAATTAATCGTATTTATTTATAATAAATATTGAAAATTTATAATTATTTACACTATTTGCATACAGGATGAGTCTTAAAGAAGTGCATATATTTTTAGGGATAGTATATTTCGACCCCAGGAAAACGACTATGAGTTTTTTTTTCGCAAAAAAGTTGTTGAAAATCATTCCACTTTCTTTTAAATTTTCCTGTGTATTTTAGAAAACTTTTGAGAACTGCCAGTTCACCGCCAATATTCCCACGGTATAATTTCTTAATCTCTGATATTACCATGACTATGGCCATTTACGGCACGGAAAGGAATACAAATACAGAAAAAAAATTCAAACTTGAATAAATAACTCAGATTTTTTGGACTTATTTGAAAAACGGCAAAGATAAAATCTGTTTCTTTTATCGAGGTCTAGCAGTCCTGAAAATACTAGCACTTATTTAAGACTCACCCTGTATAACAATCATCGCACGGTTGGTTCAAGTAATGTCGATGTAAATAAATAAAACCCATTATTCTATTCCTGAGCCTTTGTAATTAATTTATCACTCTGAACAAATTACAAAATGCTTTCCATATGTCCGGATTTACTCGGACGTGTCCGGGTTTTTAGGGGGTTTGGGATTACCCGGCCGGAATTTGAAAACAAAAAATCGGGGCAACATAATCGTTTTAATTATTACTCTAATTTTCATTTTGATATTTTTGTAATTAAAAAACGCTTTTCCATTAATATCAAAATATATAAGAACACATTTCATCATAGTAGAAAAAGAGACCATTAAATGTAGTAAGTAGTACTAGATTTTCCCTAAAAGTATTCAATAAAATTACCCATTTCACTGATTTGCTTAGTGTTAGGTCTGCAATTGATTGAGTTAAAGATTTATTTATTTTGATTTTTATTGTTATAGATACGTCTGGCTGTAATTACTCTTATTTAACTGTTATATTTAATGTATTATTTTATATAGAAGCTGTATTTTATTGTATTAAACAGTATTTCGATTTTTCACATGGTTTTATTTTTTGTCATAATCAACCATATTAACTTCACTGCGGGTGCATCCACACCATTGTAGGAAAAGCAGAACGGCGGATCGGCATATCGCTCTCCAGCAATTCTATTGACTGAATTTTTTTTGAAAATTCACCTATCAAAAATTTCAGCCAATAGAATTGCTGGAGAGGCTTTTTTTTTAAATCAGTTTTATTTTTTACAACGTTTTTTCACGTAAATGAATCATAATCTTTATAAAAATTAAAAAATTAAGAAGAAAACCAATAAGATTTTAACAAAATCACGCAACTATTTTACCGATAACGAAAGCACTGTTCTCCAAGCTCGGTCTACTACCGTTTTAATCGATCTTTCAAGTAAAGATATAGAAAACGACACTCTGAACAGAATGACATATCATATGTCAACTTTTCAGTTTCGCATATGGATTATTTGTAACATGAAACTGTAACATAACATTGAAATTGTAACATGCGGTACATAACGAGTTAATTTAACTCGAAATACCAAATGTGTTGTACCAAATTATTCGTAATTTTTTTTTCTAATTTGCTAATTAGCCATCATTTCTCCATTTGAAAAAATTGAAATATGATTAAAAATACCGTATGATCGAATAAAAACGGCGTCAGCGATGGCTATGAAATGCAGATCGCTGTTATTTTATATGTAAAATTATATGGGAAATGTCAGGGATCGTCATTTCCCAGCCAACTGGACGCCGTTTTTTTCGATCATACGGTACAATTTCAGCATCTTTTAACCGGCAAGGATAAGACAAGAAAAACATTAGGAGATTAAATCTATTTTTCCAAGGCTATTTGAGTAAGAATTGGCATTTCTAACACAGCCATGGCACTCTAGATAGAATTGATTGATTATTTAAAGTATTCTACTTTATAGTAAATCGATCATACTCTAATATTTTGTCTGTATTCTTGAAATTCCTTTCATAGACAGATCCAGTAGACATATTTTAGGTGTTTTCCATTGGTCACTCAGTATGTTTGCAATGTACAGGTATAGAAATAAAACAATTTTTAAGGGTAAAATAATCAACTATGTTTATTTGAAAAACCCAAAATAATAATAAGAAAAGCGGAGCTAGCAATTTTACAATTTTTACAATAATTTTGACAACTTGAGCCATATTTTAATAATCTTATGTCAGGTAAACTTCATAATAATAAGTAGATGAATAAGTAGTTTATTAAATAGACAACTCTAACAGCTAATCAGTAGGCATAGAAACCTATATTGCGCTTTCTATTGACGATTGGATAATATTATACTATACAGTCGATTTCCAAAAGAAATCTATACACTCTTCTAAAAACGAAAAAGAAATCTAAAAATTACGAGAAAAAAAAACAGAAAAAACATGAAGAAATAAAGATGGATATTAAAATTATATACACATAAGAAAATTATAATCCACAGGCGTACAGTGAAATTTTAATTTCGATTTATGGAAAGAATTTCTTCCCAAACTTCCATATACCGCACGCCACTGGTATAAATACAGGATGTACAAAAAATACACGGCAAAATTTCTGTGCCTGATTCCTCATTAAAAAATATGAAAATAAGTTCCTATAAACATAGGTTCGGAGAGGCGTAGTTTTAGAGATACAGGATGTTAAAATTAAAAAAATATATATATATTTTTTGTAATAATTATCTTAAATATTCTGTAGCGGAGTTTCTTGAAATTTGTTAACGTTATACTTTTTTCACATTTCTTTATGAGGATTTTTTAACACCCTGTAGATGAATCTAGCGATAAATCCTAGGTAGAAATCAATAAATTAGACAGAAAAAAATCAACAGAACCTAAGGTTTTCAGAAGAGCTACAATCCCCGCTCTGATATGACTAAAAAACATACCATATTGTAATAGAAAGTTTCCTTAAGTGGTATAATATTGTGTTTAACGTATATATTTATATAAAGTTGTAGATTATTTTTTTCCTTAAATTTATATTACCGACGAACACAACTAAGAAACAAATTGCATTAATCCTTTAGTAGGGTTTGTCTTTCGTAGTTGAGGACGTCTTCAATGTTGACGATGTCAAACTCTAAGATGCCCTTGCCGGCAAACTGGCCAAACTTGACATCAGGTGTCTGATCCGCGGATCGCTTCGCCACTGAAAGAAAAAGTCAATCGTTAGTTTTTGCCACCAAATAAAATAAAAACCGGAAATAGTGTTAACAAATTCAAAAAAAGTGTAAAGAAATTTTTATATACAAAATGTTTTTACACCAACAAAGATATTTAACTTTTTACACAAAAGCTATTTACATACATTATCCCGATGTCTGCTCAGGAGCTTGGGGTGTTCCAAGCTCAAAAGGTAAATTCCACTCCTCTAACTACCAGTGGATGACATACCAAGAATGTACAAGTTTGACAAACACCTCACTGTAGTATTGACCAATAAAAAGAATTGGAAGAGAGAAACGTTTGCTCAACAGGTAAAATACCATACCATAACGTGGTAAACTGATGCCTCCAAAGTCAATGCATGAAAAAGCTTAGGAGCATTTGGGCCGAAAACTAAATACTCCTAACCATCGGGCACCTACCACAGCATCCTTCAGGCAGAAATCTACACTATCGAAAGATGCGTATAAGTTATCTTAGATTGGAACTAATATCTAAACAAGAAATATCCATCTTATCCAAGTAGTACAAGCAGCAAAGTGATCAACTCAGTAACCATCAATTCGAAATTGGTCTGGTTTGGTCCAAAATAAAGTCCTCCTACTCTGGGTGTCGGCTCACCAAGAGATAGAAGACAATGAAAAAGCAAACAATCTAGCTAGAAAAAAAGCGAACACTCCACTAACTGGACAGAACCGTTCTGTTTTCCAAGCGGAAATCAACTTAAAGCGGCACTCAAGAACCTGGAAGACTCCATCCGTAACCTGGAATGGGAGTCCTCCAACGGTCTAAGACGCTCAAAGAAACTTCTCAGGACTTACGAGCTTACGACCGAGAAAAATCAAAGATTTTCCATGATTTAAGTAAGAGCAATCTTCGGGTTGTCATGAGGTTTTTAACAGGACACTGTCTCCTCAACGAGTGTATTTGGAACTGCTATACAATGGCATTCATCCAAGCAGTGCAAAGTTTATAAATGTCCCGAGCTTTTATTTTTACACATTATAATGCGATATACCGTGCTGGCAACTGTTACTTTTGGGTCGGTATTTACATGAGTGGTGAGTATATCGCCATAATTTAAAAAATCAACTTTTTGACACATAACAAGCCATAACTTAAGAACCACTTTAGACAATGAAACTTTTTTTTATTGTGAAGATCTTTTACAATATGTGTAAATAAGAAAAATTCTCTCTCGATAAGGTTGTTTTTTTCATTAAAAAACAACCCATCCATTTACTTTTAGTGCATAGCAATGTTCAGCAATCGTGTAACTTTTTTATTTATAAAGATTTTCACATACTGTCTGCAAAGAAAATATAGCAGAAATGTTAAGAAAGTTTTTGAAAAAACTACAATCAATTATTTCTAGTAGACACGAGTTCTAATAGCGCGACCACTGTCGAACACCAACTTATTAATTCCACTTATCTTTACCAAAAATGCTTGTTTCTAACTTGCACTTAAAAATTTTCAAGTTATAAGAAAAATTACAACGATTCGTTAATAAATAAACATATAAAGTGTCACGAGACGTAATTAAATCGTGAAGCTGAACGCATGATGTACACCTTTCTCTAAAACTTTAAGTACTGACAGAGGTACTGATTGGGTTGACCGGTCGACTGAGACAAATCTACTATATCCCCTTCCACGTCTCTTAGCAATGTGCACAGTTTCTCGGTTTATTTCATACGTTTAGCGAAATGTTTACTGTTCTCTCTTTAATCAGTACATTATAAACGCACTGTACTCTTCTTACATACGGAAATCTCGACCCAAGATTAACCTTTGCCAGCCCCTTATTATACACAAAATTTACATTCAAAAAGAAACTCTCACGAGCGATGGCAGAAATAGATGAAACTAATTTGTAATGCTTTTCGAATTATGGAGAAATTAACTATTCCAAGCTTTATACACAAACATTTTAGGTTAGAATACGACTCCTCTTGCAGTTAGAATTGTTGATCGATAGGTGCAGCAACCTCGAACATGTCTTGTTCCATTGGCTTGGTAACACACACTCCTAGTTGTGTTCTTACACTTTAATACAAAGCCTGTCTTGCTACCTGAAGGGCAAGAAAGACTGTGTAGAATAATTAGGAAAGAACCCTCAAACAAATAATATAAAGAATAATATAAATAGACCAACATTACTAAACAAAACAAAGGTATATGAAAAACTGCGCGTTGATCATCAATGTCAAAAAAATATTGGAACATAACGATAATACCAAGAAAACAAGGTATGATATTGCGCAGGTTGGTCACTCCGCGCGCCAATGTCAATTCGTCAAACTGATGACAGATAATAAATGTGAAAATGATTTTTTAAATGTCAAGCTGAATGATTTGACATGGCTTTTGAGGTTATGTCCTAATTCATCCCTATTTTAGGTCTTTTTTATTAGTGGCAATTGAACAATATGGATATTTTTTGTATGGCGTATGCCGTCACAGGTGATGCGCAAACTGAACGAAATTGGAGCCGCATTCGATTTTCGATTCTTTTCTTTGTATCATGAAACTAACTATTAATCAAAATTCGTACAAAACTGTGTCACGTTCACAATATCGAATCGTAACGAAAATCAACAAAACACCATAAATTTTTTACTGATCAGTCTTATTTTTAGAATTCTGGAAAGTATTTCTTAATAACAAAAAGAAAAAATTAGTTGAATTGTTGAAGTTTTTCAGCAAATAAATGAAAATATTGCGATGTTGTGTAAATTAAAATCATATACAGGGTGTCTATTCGAAGTGACTAACCTAACTTCTTACTAACCAAGCTATTAAATTGGAAGGATTTGAAGGACATGTTTAAAAAAGTGACATATAATGCTGTTTTAATATAAATATTATTTTCAATTTATTTCTGTAATCTCTACATTTTCTGTTTCCCCAATAGCCTGCAAATTTTGTGGAATACCACCACAAAATACACACTTTTATGCAAATGCCTAATAATGTTAACGCCCCTTAAAATTTAAGAGAAGAAATTTTGAAACTAACCAACAATTCCTGTGGTCTGTTTTTATTTACATGTTTTGTTCATTACTTATTGTGATTTACAGTGTTGGGGCTGGTAAACTGACCACTTAATTGACCAGTCAAATTCGGTCAAAATGTGTTAAATAACATCTTACAATTGTACAATGTTATCTATAGGCGCGTATACATCTGGCGAACGTATGTGGCCAAAGCCATTCGACCGAACGCCTTCGGTAAATGTGTACGGCCCAACAAACGGCAGCGAACGCATGTGTTTGCATTCGCGAGAGTTCGCTCACTGGGCGGGACATCAAAAGAAAATTGAAGAAAGAATTCGTTTGGCTGTGTTTAGTGTGTACGCTTCCAGTTAAAGTGTCAAACGGCGTCGTCGCGATTTAATTATCCGCCTCACTAATAATAATATACAACACACTTGCAATAATTATATCTTCATCGGACGCCCGGGACGCCATATTTACCACTTGCAACAAAAGTTCGCGCGCCAAAAATACCCGCGAAACTGAACGAATGACAGCAAACGAATTCATTCACCGTAATGTGGACGGCAAAGCAAATTTTCCATCGAACGCCGAAAACATGGAATGAATTCGGTCGAATGGCTTCGGCCACATGCGTTCGCCAGATGTGTACGCGCCTTATCATTATGTCACACCCAGGTATTCCGGCACACAGGACAATTTTTTTTAAAATGAAAATATGTTTTATTTATATATTATTTCAAAGAATGAATGGGAAACAGCAGCTAACAATAGAACTCAATGGAGAAGAGTTGTAAACTCAGTTAACAACGACAACCAAAAAGTAAAGAGGCAACAAAGCTATCAGATTTTTGAACGTCCGGAGTGCGGTAGGCAGATAACATCACGTACCGGGCTTTTCAGTCACAGAAAAGCTCATGAAAGAAAACGCCTTGCGTGGCCATTTTCTTTATGTGTGTCGAATACTCGTCAGCGAGTAACGGCTGTATGTATGTATGTATGTATTTCAATGATTATGTGAAATAAAATATTAATTTGTTTTTATTTGTTTCTATGTACTTTTAAAATTATTTTGGTCAATTGACGAAAAAAAAATTGACAGGTCAAATCCACAACCTTAATTGGTACACGGGTACAGTATCATGTTAATTATAATAATTTTCTTAGCTTTAAATTAAATGTTTCTAGAATACCTCATCACTGACTGCGTCGAGACGAGAAACATTCGCGGTGATTAACCCCCTCCCAAAGATTCTACATTCATACAGTTATAGCTACCTCAAAGAATCTAATCCCATATAACTTTATAATATACACAATGACAGCGATCTTCAATGACGCAGTCTAAGTATAAAAATATTATTAAAAAAGTTTAAAAACTCACCTCCTCCAACATATTTCTCTAATTTGTATATCGGCATACCGCCGCACTCGTTGTCGATGTACGACCCGATTTCAGTCATGTCAGTGACAGGAGGCGTCACAACTCTCATCGTCTCTCTCACAACGTCAGTGTCGACCTTGTAGTACCCTTCCCACATTTTCTGAACCAGATCAAAGAGCGAACTGGGCGGTAGAACGTTCTGTCTATTCAATGGCATCACGAAACATCTTTTACCTGAAAATCATCAATTTAGTAAAAGTTTGTCATATGTCAATTTTCATACTCTACCCCTCATATATATATTTTAAAAAATACAGTATTTCAATTGACAACCAGAGCTGCAACAAGTCAGTTTTAAAAAGACTTAAGTCTCAAGTCTTAAGTCATTTCTAAAATCATAATGATATAAGTCTTAAGTGAATTTCAATATAAAGTTCAAATGACTTAAGTCATTTTCTTTCAAGTCAAGTCATTTTTGTAGAGACTTAAATCAATATAATTTACATTATTTAAGTCTTTTTTACTTAAATCATAATAAGCTACAAGTTAAGTCAGTAAAATGACTTAAATCAATATAATTTCCCTCCAAGTCAAGACAACCAGAATTCAATTTAAATACCTATTTTTTAAATGTTAATATTAATTTTATTGTATTACCCATTACCGATTTTTTATTATCTATATTAATTTATTGTAGATACAGATTAGAATAAAATATTATATAAACAACTATAATAAACAATAAAAAATAAACTCAAAATCAAGGACAAAACACACATAAAAAACAAAAAAACGCACATATAAAAACATCAAAAACTTAAATAAAATTAAATTTTGTGGTACTTTGTACAGGTTGTCCCATTCTTTGTGTGTTTTACAGGGTTTCTCGTTTATGAGCAGCAGTACAAAGATACAGTTTTCACAGTTACTACTTTATTATGAAACTAAAGATGGTAAACACATATTTGATTCCGTTTTAAATTTACGATAAAAATATATGAAAAGAAGACTTAAATCTTTTCTAAAAAGACTTAAATCTCATAAATGACTTTTTTTAAGATTTAAGACTTTTGTAAAATGAATTAAGTCATTAAAAAAAGATTTAAGTCATTACATGTTTTCTAACAAAAACTTAAATCTTTTTTAATGACTTAAATCTTTTTCTATTTCAGAATAAAGACTTAAATCACAAGCCATTTTGAAAATGACTTAAATTTTAAGTCTTAAGTCAGCTTTCGAAATATGACTTAAAATCAAATGATTTAAGTCACTAAAATGATTTAAGTCAAAAAGAGACTTAATTTTTTGGTGAGCTTACAGCTCTGTTGACAACATAACTTTTTCAAAAAGTTCATACCCCATGTCTTCATTTCTATAGATCATACCAAATAAACTTTTAGTCACGTGATTAAGCTTGACGGTTACAGCATTGCCGGTTTTTACATATTTTCTTTTAATCAAAATTTTTTAGTAAACAAAAATTAATTCGTTATAAAAATTTAAAGTTAATATTTACATGAACGAAACTTAACCCCCTAACATAAATGGTCATTACTACCGCTTTCCAAAATATTCTAATAAGGTTGCGATGAGTTTTTTGCAACGGCTGTTAAGCTGCTTTGTATACTTCGCACTAAAAGCGATTCTAAAAAAAATTAATAAAATTTAAAGTATCACAACACAATTAACTTAAACCAAAAACTCGTAATACAAAACTAAAGTGTCAAAACGAATCAAAATACCAGGAAATAAATAAATAAATGTGACAACTTGACATTTTTTACAGCAGGGCTACCACCTGAATCACCAGCGGGAAATTTAAATTCCAGTTAATCAGCCCGGCGCCGAATAAGTACATGGTTGGCAACAATGAATTTAATAATCGCGTCCTCAATGACGCAACTAAAAGTTTATTTGGTATTGAACACTTATTATGACACTTTAACTGTCAAAGTAGTCAAAATACCGGCTCACTGAATACCACACATCATTGCCAAATGTCTCAAATAATGAAAATTATTAATATTTACCTGTTACGTCAATGATTCCAGTGTAGTTTGTATTGAAATCGTGAATAAACCTTCCACTACGCCCATTTCTGAAGTCAGGTACGTCAATCTTTTCGTATTTCTGTTCTGGATCGATTTCAAAACTTTCCTGGAAATATCTTCTGTTCAAAATCCTCTTCCAGTCCATTTTTCCATTGTCCCTAAAATACAATTTTTCTTTAATATAAAAAATCTAAAGATATAAAACAAGAATCTTTTATTACCAATCCTTCAATTGTTGGTCGTTTTGAATTTGAATCAAGTTATCGTCATTTTCTGTATTGTCATAATCATCGTCCATAGGAGAACTAAAAAACAAACATATAATATAGGAAAATCATTTATTCTCCAGAAGAATTGTTGATGAATGACCTAATTAGTCCGAAAACTCGTTAGAGTTAAAAAATTTCAAAGTTGGAATCAAGTGGAAAATGAAAATTTCCGATGGAAATTTTGTCATTTCCAAAAAATGAAATTCGGTGTGCACTATGTGCGCATATCTGAAGTGAAACTTCTTACTAACACACTTGTTTATATATTAACTAGTTAGTCAGCGTGAGTTAGTTCTGGAAGTTCACTGATAGATGGCTACACGAGAATTGCATAGCGGGTCTTTTAAAAATTTCAATTTCTAGTTAAAAGGGTCAATCGCAAGAACGGTATAAACTTATTAGGTTAATAATTCTTATTAGTTTACTGTTCTTGCGATTGTCCCACTTAATTAGAAATTCGCATTTTTGAAAGACTCGCGATGCAATTCTTGTAGCCATATATCAGTTAACTCCCAGAACTAACTCACGTTGAATAACTAGTTAATATACAGGTTGTTAATTTGTTTATTACTCGCGGCAAAAAATTAATGGTCGAAATATGGCAACCTCGGCCCGCTCGTCGAGAGACGACGCGACGGAACGAGTCGGCAGAAAACCCTATAAGTGCATGCGTTCTCAATAGGCAGTGTTGCTATTCTGTTCCCCAATAACTAACCGTCCAGTTAACAATCTGTATAAACAAGGCTAACGGCTATTAGAGAGATATGGCAACGATATGCGGTAATAACGGAGGCGTTATTTTGGCAACTATGACAGTTAAAGTGTCATCGCTATTAACGTTGCCGCATGCCGGTATTTAGATGGAGAACACGCCCTGCGCTAATTTGACAGTTTCGGAACGTTATTTTATCAGTTGAGATACTGTATTTTTTATAAAAATTAAGATAACTCTTTATTGGTTTAAATTGTACTCTTTTTTAGACACACTTTCTTTTAGACACTAATTAACACTCCTGATATATTTAATAGCTAATTTTTTATAAAAATAAAGAAAAATTATGAATATACTCGTAGCTGCTCTTTTGATTGACAAAATCAGAAAACTAGGTTAAGGCTAAATTTTTAAAAATGTTGGCATAATCGTCAAAATCGATCAACGCTATTTTGTGTTGCCATAACTCGAAGTACGACAAACGCAAATGTCACAATAACGTCAGCGCTAATAGCGGAATTGCGGCAGTATTGGACTTTGCCATATTATCTTTCTATTAAATTGAAGGATTTTTTTTTTCAAGAGAAACCAAGACAAACTATATTACACACAAAAAGGATTTGAAGGACATGTTTAAAAAAGTGACATATATTGCTGTTTTAGGCTGTATTCCGTTGCAAAACCAGGCGAACCAGACCGGTAAACTACGGTAAAGAGCGGTTCCTGAAAAACATCGGTTTGATACGGTACGGTTTGGTAAATACTGAAAATGTCAAATATTGACGTTTTCTAAATGTCAATACCTTTATTATAAAATGTATCTTTTATGCATTTTTAATGTACCTATTCTCTGCTTTTACGTTTGCTTCTTCTTTTCAATGGAGTTTAGTATTAAAAAGTACTTTATTAATAAACTGTTAAACTCGTTAGACAGCTCAAGTAAAGATTTCCAGGTCCAGTATTAAAATAGATCAATAACAAATAAACCAATCTAATAGATATTTATATTTTTATAGCTTACAAAACATTCACGATTACTTGTCTTGTTTTTCATGTTTTCTTTAAATGTTCCTGACTTTAAAAAACAATGGCTTCATGGTAAGTTTAAATAGTCCTAAAAAGTCATTCTATTTAGTTAATTAAATTAATTTACCCTTACAACCTAAAGTACGTCTGCTGGATCTGTGTCTATGAAAGGAATGTGGACAAAAAAACATTTAAATAAACAGCAATATATTTTATACGTCGACTTGCCGAGTACGTCACCGCAAATCGCTCCGCCCACTCATTTTATTGGCTACTTGCAAATTTGTCCAAATTTTATTGATGGGACGCGTCGTCTAATTTTTTACGAAAAACATCGAGAGAATATCGTTTCCCCTCTCACGGATACCCCGTAGCTACAGAACGGACAGACGTACCATTGCTTTTGGATATAAAAGTAAAGATAAAGTAAAGATTCCAGTTAACGTCTCCTTTTTGCTGCCAGGGCTAATCTGGACGGGGCCTACTTTGTTTACGCGGAATCCGAACCGCGGTCCTCGGCCATATCATGGTCAATGGCCTACCGACATAGGAAGTGTCTAAATTAACTCTTACTCACGAGATATCCGATCTCATCCGGCCTCGAACCGGCGTGAATGAGCAATGTGTATCAATAGATTTTACACTTTTTCCTTGGACAACAGCACGATACAGAGTTTCGAACCGGTCACCCGTCCATCCACCAGTATCGCCTTACGTCGCTTAACTTCGGTGTTCTAATGGGAACCGGTGTTTTAACGTAACTAGGCCGTTGCCTTCTTTTAGATATAAATACAAAATATTATTACAAATTTTAGAAATTAAATGAGAATTTCACTTGAACTTTTCGAATATTTGCTTGATTTCTGTCACATAAATGACATTGATTGACAAACAAAACCAGAAAACCCAACCTTCTCGTGCTGGTTAGTTTGGTGACAATTATGTATATGTATTTTTCAGGAACGGTGTTCCGTAATAAGAAAACTTTCAGGAAACCGACAGAAACGGAACATAAAATCATAACCAAGGTAAGCAACGGAATACACCCTTAATGTAAATATTATTTTCAATTTATTTCTGTAATCTGTACATTTTCTGTTTCCTCAATAGCTTGCAAATTTTGAGGTATACCACCCCAAAATACACACTTTTATGCGAATGCCTAATTAATGTTAACGTCCCTTAAAATTTAAGAGAAGAAATTTTGAACCCAACCAACAATTCGTATGGTCTGTTTTTGTTTACATTTTGGTTCATCATTTATTGCGATTTAAAGTAATTTTTATTAAAAATTATTTTAAATTTACTTCCTATCACACAACCAGAAGATATTGGTACAGAGGTACAGTAGGTATCATGCTTTAAATCAAATGTTTTTTGGTGTTTACGCGATCGTGCGATCTTACCACTTCTCCTCTCGCTAGCTCGTGTGTTTCGCTTCAAAAATAGTTGTTTTATAAAACAGTAGGTACACTGTATGTAATTAATTTATTTATTATGTTGGTAATTAAAACAAAATATTTAATTCAACTTACATTGGAATTTGAACCCATCCTTCTGATTGCTGGCGCGCATTCTCAATTCTCTTCGTAACACTCAAATATTCGTTGTAAAGAATTTTACCACCAATAATTCCAACTCCTACACCAGCTAGAGCAATAATCAGCAGGAACAAAATTGTTGTAGATGAGACACGTCTGGCATGAGACGGGAATATTATAATTTTCTTATGTAGAACTTGGCCTTCAATATCTGTCGGAGCAGTTGGCTAACAAAAATAAATAACATAATGCTTATAGTTTCATATTGATTCGCATTACAAATAAATTATTCCTAAATCTAATCACTGGCAACAGAGTTTAAAGTACAGGGTGTCCCATATTTTCGTGTGTTTTACAGGGTTTCTCGTTTATGAGTAGTGATACAAAGATGCGATTTTCACATCACTATGCTACTTTTTTATGAAACTAAAAATGCTACGCCCAGATTTGTCTTAAGCTTCATTCAGAACCTCGCAATTAGTGGAATAAATTAGTGGTTTCAATTAGCGTAGAAATTTGTTCCTTTAATTTCAATGTAAGCATTCAGAACGTCAAAATTAGTGGTAGACATTTTCAATTAGTAGAAAATTAGTAGAAAAAGTTATCAAACTTTCAGCTATTCCACTAATTAAACTTAAAAATTGGCGAGAAATTTCATTTTGATCTTTGATTTTATCTTCCGTCAAGGGAAGTTGTGGTTAGAAATCAAAAGTTGATTGTTTTATAAATTGTGAATGCTGGTAAACTAACAAGTATAAAGTGTAATTGAAACCACTAATTTATTCCACTAATTGCGAGGTTCTGAATGAAGCTTTAATATTCTTAGTTTGTGAAATACACGGCGAATTTGAAATTGTTGCACTTTTCATCCTCCCGTTAAATCTTGGTTATTTTATGACTTATCAAAAAAACTGTGCCCCTAGGGTATTTTACTTTTTTTGCTGGGAGCTGTCATTTTCGAAGTATGACTCAAACATATGTTTTTTTTTTAAATGGAACACCCTGTATATTATTTTATTTTATTTACCTTGTCATGAGCCTTCTAAAAATAAAATATATTTTATATAATTTATTTTCATAAATAAGGTAAAAAAATGCATTTTTTAACTTTTTAACATAAATAAACCTAGTTTAAAAGATTGCTATCATTTTATTTAAACTAATTTAATTAGATAATTTTGCTTTCAATCTTGTTATCTTAATAAACTGGTGCTGTTTTTAGATAACAAGGTGTCAATCGGAGTTATTGACAGTTTTGATGTACTTCTACAATAATTTCACATAAAGAAACTAGCATGGAATATCCAATAATCAAAATTTGACGTCGAATAAATTATTTGATTGTTTTGATTACCCATTTTAAAACGGCCGCCTATGTTAAAAAGTGAAATAATCCATTTTTTTCTAGATTATGTAAATAAGTACCGAGTATGATATACTTTTAGAAATCTCATAACAAGGCACAAATAAAATAAAAATATAAAATTCAGGGTAACTTCATAGAACTCAGGGTGCATCCACACTATCCTAGAAAAAGCGGAACGGCATATCGGCGTAACGACCTTGAATCGATTTTCAGCAATTCTATTGGCTGAAAAATTCATCTGTCAAAAATTTCAGCCAATAGAATTACTGGAAATCTATTCAAGGTCGTTACGCTGATCCGCTTTTTCTGGGATGTGGATGCACCCTCAGATTGTCAAAATCGTAGGTTGACAACTTAAGGTATGTTGGCATTTGCCTGGTTTTGCATTGAAACTAATATAACACATTGATTTGATTAACACAGTAACACAGCGTTTCGTTCAGAAGGATCACTGACCGTTATCAAGTGTAAACTAATTTTTTCTAAGTTTTTCCTGCAGTTTTAGGAATTAGATTATTTTACACTACTTGATACTGGTCAGTGATCCTTCTGATCGAAACGTTGTGTTAATCTAGTGTTGTTCTACCCTAGAAGACAGTCCTCTTTTAGATCATACTGTCCTCTTATCTCTCATCTATTGAAAAAGTCCTCTTTTTTATACACCAAAATCAAAACATAAAAAATATTCTTTTATCTCCAAAATGTTTAATAAAATTGTTAATTTGACAATAATGTGTCTTTCGCTACTACCCCTTTCGTAGAGAACAGAAATATATTATGTACAAGAATCATTTGTGGAAGCAATGAATTTTTTTATGTTTACTTGCAGTTAGCTTATGTTTTGAAATAAAAAGTTTTGTAGAAAATCGTTTGTTCCATTTTAACCAGTTTGGAGTACAAATACTTTTGAGATAGTAAAAAAGATCATCAACCACATAACATGTACCGGGTGGCCAATTAAGAATGGACGCCGGCTGTATCTCAGAAACTACTTATCGTATAACATTGAGAAAAAAATTCTAATAAGTAAATCGACCAAGAGAAATCGCTGGAAATTATTTTCAAGTTCGAAAAATGTCCGCTAGATGGTGTTTCGCTGATAGCCAATCCGATAACAGGGTTTTTCTCAAAAGTATGCAGGTGAACAGGTGTTTTAAATATTACTACTGTAATCATCGAGAAATTAGAAGGCTATATTTCTCTTTACACAGTTAAATAGAGCACAAAATTTCCAAAATATCAGCGCAAACCGCAATTTTCTATCTTGTCTCTAACCGGAGATATTAAGAGAACAAATCATGTTAGGCTGCCGCTTAGGATTATATGGTCTAAAAATTATAGTAGTAGGCTAGGAAACAAAAAGAGGTAAATTAGTTACGTCAAAATATCAAAAACGTTAAGTTCAGTTTTCATGCATCTGAGTTGCGGGCGTTTTATTAAAAAAGATGACGTCATAAATTTTTAAACGTGTTTATAACATTATCGTCCATCCACATAATTTTTTTGAATTACTTGGTTAATTATACCGAGGAGACAAACTAAAATGTCCGAAAGGCAGACAATCAATAATTTTATTAAAATTTCCAAGAATTTTATGCCGCCATATTGCTTTTAACAGAAAACGGCCAAATTTCGTATGGCCGAAAACTAGGGGTTTATTTCATGTAACGTCATTTAGCTATTAATCCAAGTTGTGTGCTATTAATCCACATGTCCGTGATTTCAATTGTTTTCGTGTTTTACCTGTTGTTTGTGTTATTTATTATTGTATTATAAAGTTTATTTCGTTTGGGTCACTTTTTATATAGCCCTGAAGGTGCGAATGTTAACAATATGTACTACTGGTCCAAATCTACCCTGGATGCAAGTAGTTCATCACCAAGACAGTTGCTCGGTACATGTTTAGGCAGGAATTCTAGGATGGCGAATGATTATATGAATGAAATGAACTATCCATAGTTTCTAAGAGATGAATTGCCAATTTTGTTAGGGTATCCATCATGATGAAAATGCATTTGTTGCAATTTCATCAGCATGAATGCAGTTAGTGTAAATAATGCAGTTTGGTGCAGTTGTGTATCATATTTTGCTATGAATGTGTGGGGCTTCTTGGATACCACTTACTTTAGTTGATAGAGACGCTGAAGCGGCATATTTCCATGGCTAGCTAGGTCATTGGATTCAATATGCCTGGGTTTTAATTTATGAGGTCGAATCAAGAACAAACATGGATAAATAACAATGAAATGGTATTAAAATGAAATTAAAATATATGTTTTGATATTTTAACCTAACCAATTTACCTCTTTTTATTTCCTAGCCTACTACTATAATTTTTAAACTATATAATCCTAAGCGGCAGCCTAACATAATTTGTTCTCTTAATATCTCCGGTTAGAGACAAGATAGAAAATTGCAGTTTGCGCTGATATTTTGGAAATTTTGTGCTCTATTTAACTGTGTAAAGAAAATATAGCCTCCTATTTAATTTTTTTATGCAAAAGCGCAATATCTGTTATGATGTCAAACAGCGCCCTCTAGCTACCACGAAAAAAATGATGGAAACAAAATTTACACTGGAGATCGTTAAGGAAGAAAAGCTCTTTTAAACGAGCCCTACTTTGTTTAAATCGATTAACTTAAACCAGAGTTATCCTTATTTTAATAAAAGCAAGTTTAACCTTCCCCCACCACTTCATTTTATGAGATAGAGCAAAACACTCTATATCAAAAAAATTACAAATTTCTCGATGATTACAATAGTAATATTTAAAATATCTGTGCATATTTTTGAGAAAAACCCTGTTATCGGATTGGCTATCAGCGAAACACCATCTAGCGGACATTTTTCGAACTTGAAAATACTTTCCAGCGATTTCTCTTGGTCGATTTACTTATTAGAATTTTTTTCTCAATGTTATACGATAAGTAGTTTCTGAGATACAGCCGGCGTCCATTCTTAGTTGGCCACCCGGTACATAACTTTCGGGTAAATTCTTGACAACATTTGGGCAAAGTTTCAAAAAATATTTAGCTTGCGGCGCTTTTTCAACTTCTCGTCCTCTAATTTTTATTTTGAAAGTTGGCAACGCTATTTTAATCAAAATAAATAAAAACAATGGAAGTCCGAAATTCTTTTAGTTTCATTACTGAATCACTTTCTACCACAATCAAAGAAACGTTAGTTTTGATTTGTTACCTGTTCAGTTTTAATTTAAAAATAGATAGAGATTTTCTTAAGTTATTTAAAATTGGTGTGTCAAAAATTGTTCAATTTTGGCACGTATAGGTATTCAGTAAACGCAGACTTAAAAAAAATCTGCAGGGGAGCCAATATTTGAACAGTTTAAAATTACCATGAGATTTTCTATATTATTTCCGACGACGATGCATCACCCAGTATATCGATATGCATTACAAATAAATCATTCCTAAATCTAATCACTAACCGCAGAGTTTAAAGTACAAGCGTGCTTATATGCATAGCGAGAATATAAATACAAAACATCTATTAAGTTCTAAATAAATCGCAATAATACTACACACAGTAATGCTATTATTTGATAAGAAAGTTCTGTTTATTTGCATTAACAAAGCGTTATAAACTGAATTCAAAAAAACTACCATTATCTGTTCTAGTCTTGTTCATAAATAATATGGAAATTTTGAATGAATATCGCTTACAAATAGGATTTTAAAGCTTGGTCCAGACGTACCGACATAATCGTATGATTTATTTGTATCCACAAAACGTTGCAGATAAATTATAGCGTGTGGACAGCAAGTTTGAACAAATTTTAGGACTGCACAAACTGGGAAGACTGAGTTAAAAGTTTGAGGATTTTGCTTTCGTAGAAGGATTTTGCTTTCGTTTTTGGAGGATTTCGTAGAAAAACAGACTACGCCACTGTATTCTACGTAAAAAGTTCTACAATAAACAGTGTTCACTATCTCGATACCTTTAACAATAACAGAGATACGGGGGGTATCTCAAATTGCAAAATTTTCGAAAAGACACTGTAGCTTAGAAACGAAGAGGGCTATGAAAATTTATTTTGCAGCATCTTCCGTTTGACAAAAAGTGGGACAGCTTTGTGCAAAGCGCATCCCCCTATCTTTACTAATAAAGAAGATACCGTATGATTTCAACCAAAATGGGACACCCTGTACAATAGTTTCCCTTGATTATGTCAAGTAAAATGAAAAGAATACATTGACAAGGAAAAGAAAAATCAGACTCGTAGGTCTGGTTTTTATTACATTTTTATGATATATATTCAGAGTGGTTTAGCAGATACCTCTATTAAAGTACAGAGTGTCCCACTAAGAATAGTTCTCGGCTGTATCTCGGAAAGTATTAGCCAAAGCGGCTGCGGAAAAAAATATTTATAACTAAAGAGACTATGGGAAATTGCTGGAAATTGTTTTTAAGTTTGTAGAACGACCGCTCGGGGGCGCAACTGCAACAAAAAATAAGAAAATGGAGTTTTTACACAATTTTGCCTAGATAAGGTATACTATAAGTAACAGCTTCATAATCTTCAGTAAATTTTGAATATTTTTTGTTAGAGCCATTTTCCCTTATCTACCAAAATAAAGTGGTGGGGGAAGGTTAGATCTGTTTTTATTTGAATATTAATAACTCTGGACTGGATGATCGGAATCCAACAAGCGAAGGATCGTTTAAAAGAGCGTTTCTTACTCTATATTGTACCATATAAACAATAATAATAAGCTTTTGAACGTAGACGCTAGGGGGCGTTGTCTTACAATTTAACAAACATTGCGCGTTTTTTCAAAAAAAATAAATGCAATAGTATACGTATTTTTAGCTGATAGTAAAGAGTAGTAAAAGCTTAAAAAGTCAGCGAAAACCGCATCTTGATATCTTCTTTCAAACCGAAGATATTAGCAAAATTATAATAAATACCAAAAAATAAGCCCTTAACTATCTTATTTTTACAACACGGTATCAGTAGCCCCCTTGATTATGCCCATTCTAACCTAAAAATAAGATAGAAACAGTTAGTTTATTTTAAAATCGACGATATACCAGAATATCAGTCATGGTAGGCTTTGGAAAAAAGTTGCTTTTGACGTAATAGTATAAACGTCAAATTGTTATTAGATCAACATTTTGATAGTCTTAGCAGCGTTTTTATCTTTTGATTGCTTTTTCAAAATGCCAACAACTTCAACTACTTCAAATAATCAAGGCATTTTGAAAAAGCATTTAAAAGATAAAAAAAAACGCTGCTAAGATTATCAAAATGTTGATCTAATAACAATTTGACGTTTATACTATTACGCGAAAAGCAACTTTTTTCCACAGCCTACCACGACTTCAGTGAATCATCGTTTCTTGTTCACTATTATTAATACCTTAATTATTAGATATTAATACATCTGGTATTATGGTATTCTGGTATTTCGTCGATTTTAAAATAAACTAACTGTTTCTATCTTATTTTCTTGTTAGAATGGGCCTAATCAAGAGGGCTACTGATACTTATAGGGCTTATTTTTTGGTATTTATTATAATTTTGCTAATAATCTTCGGTTTGAAAGAAGATATCAAGATACGGTTTTCGCTGACTTTTTAAGCTCTTTTACTACTCTTTACTATCAGCTAAAATAACACATACTATCGTATTTAATTTTTTTGAAAAAAACGCGCTATGTTTGTTAAACTGTAAGAAGGCGCCCCCTAGCGTCTACGTTGAAAACCTTATTATTATTTTTATGGTACAATATAGAGTAAGAAACGCTCTTTTAAACGAGCCCTCGTTTGTTGGATTCTGATCATCCAGTCCGGAGTTATTACCATTTAAATAAAGATAGATCTAACCTTCCCCCACCACTTTATTTTAGCAGATAGGGAAAAATGGTTCTAACAAAAAAAATCCAAAATTTACTGAAGATTATGAAGCTATTATTTATAGTACCCATTATATAGGCAAACTTCTGTAAAAAATCTATTTTCTTATTTTCCATAGCAGTTGCGCCACCTAGCGGCCGTTTTACAAACTTGAAAATAATATAGAGCAATTTCTCATAGCCCTTTTAGTTATAAATATTTTTTTCTGCAAGCCCTACGGCTAATACTTTCCGAGATACAGGCGAGAGCTATTCTTAGTGGGACACCCGGTACATAATTTAATAAAAAATAAAATGTTTTGTATATCTCTATACTTTTATGAGTTTACATGTGAGTTAGTTAAAAAAAAGGTACACATAATAGAAACAATTGTGAATTGACAATCAAACATTATTTTAAGAAATACCTTATGATCGAAAAAAAATGGCTTCCAGTTGGCTGGGAAATGAAGATCGCTGTCATTTTATATGTAAATTTATATGGGAAATGTCATCGATCGTCATTTCCCAGCCAACTAGACGCCATTTTTTCTCGATCATACGGTAGTTATGTGGTAGGTAAACATTAAAAAGTAATATTTTCACATATTTCTATACTCGCAGCAATTTAAACATCTCTTCAGCTGTTGTTTCGTATACCATGGTATCTTCAATATTCAGCAAAGACTTCTCATTTCTAGTCACTCCACTTCAATTGTTGTTTCGCATACCATGGTATCTTTCAATATTCACCCTAAGTCGTAGTTTTCTTGATGTTTTCTGGTTGAGCAACCTTTTTTCGATCATTAGATTTGTAATAGATTTGGCTAGATGTTTAAGAAAATCAATTTGTATCGCAAACAAATCGTACGATAAGACGTAACGTGTGGACCACGCTTTACAACAATCAATATATTTTCTGAATATTATTATTACATTTCAGAGATCAAACATCAAGTTCAATGTACCATTTACTTCATTTTTAAAAACTGCCCCATTTTAGTAATACAGATTAAACTACATACTTAGGTCGTAGAAAACCAGTATTGATTTTACTCTTACCGTTGTTGGCGTTTGTTCTTCATTCTCCACCAAAGGAATCACCAAATTGTCCTTCTTTTCTGAATGCGTCTTCGTCAAGATCGTCATCTTTAGGAACTAATAGAGAATTCGATCGGAAATGTTATCTGGAACTGTGCAAACTAATCGGAAAACAAATTGTTTAGAACAAGTTCACTTAACAAAATACGAAATACAAAAACATCCCCACTCTGAATCATCTGTTATATGTCAAATTCTAACCCCACCCAAAGATATTTATAGGGAGATGTCCGACGTTGCCGGACTTACTATTTTCTAGTGTGCTTCCCTTCTTTTTTCTAACTTATTTAAAAAATGAACCATAAGAAATAGTTTAATAGATATTAAGTACTTTTTATATGCAAGTAGCTGTATCTAAAAAATTGCGATAATTTTTTTTAATATATTAAGAAAATATAAAAAAATCTGAATTTTAAAATTATTACTTTTATCTACTACTAAAATACATAATATGTATATTTATTATTATTTATAAAATGGTTAATACGCAGCAATTAACAATGATTGAAATAGTTGGCAATACTATGTTAGAGGATTTTAGAATTAGTGATTGGTATCTACTAATGATAAAATAAATTAACGATCAAAAATTTTAGGAAATTTTGTCGTTGACTTTCTTTGGTTTTTCTTTACCTTCTTAATAATTTACTTAAGTTTTGACTTAGTTGTTTGTGAAATCGACATATTTTTCAATCTTAAACTTTATCTAATCTAGATAAAAATGTACAAATTTCTTAAATTTATTGTCAACCAAACTGGCAAAATCAGAATTGTCAACATGTTGTCAACATTAAATTTTAGTTAAAATTAAAATCAAAATTAAAATATTTTAAGAATAAGTTAAAAATATATAAGAATACCAGAATATCAAAAATACCAGAATATAAAAGTTTATAAAAAATAGCCCCATAATAATTGCGACATTATATTTGTACTTAATTTAACATAACACAGTTTTCTTTTTAAAAATGTAAGAAGTTTATAAATAATTATCAATTTTTTTCATTATAATAAAAATACTAAAAAATTAAATCTGACAACATTGCACATCTATCGAAAAGCGCCAATTTGAAAAATTTAATAATTTTACAATCATATTCCCCGAAGGAAGATATTAAGGGTTTTTCTAGGGTTATTTATGAATATAAGTTTCAATTTATATTGTTTGGGGAGCTTAATCTATTACTATGTAGAAATATCCTACAATTGTAGGTAATAAACCGTATTCTTTAAATAGATAATATAAAATCACCTAAAATTTTATTATCCCGCAACCAAATATACACACACTGTTTTGCTGGTAATCTAACGTAAAGTATGGATTCTAAAATATTTTAAACTGAACATAATATACAATACAAACTAGTTTATTGTTTTAAGTGTTATTAACTATCTTGAGGAAGTTCTTAAAAGGGTTATACTGAGAAATTGACACTTTTTAACACTGTCATTAAAAATATGTCCGGTAGCAGTAAAACAAAAATAAACGAAGGCAGACGCGCTAAAAACTTGAAAATTTTGCCGCGTTTCGGTTAACACGTTTATTAGTGGTTTTACGAGGTGGGCTGTTCTATTTTTCTTGTTTTATTTGACGGTCTGTCAACTTTATGTCGTACGGAAGTCCGTAAAATGGGATATGGTGTAGTAATAGTAAGTTTAGAGAGGGTATACAAAATAGCAAAATGGGAGTTTATATTGCTATTTATATTTAAATACTTCAAAATGTACAATTTAATAATTTACCTACTAGTATCTACTTAATAGTAATAAAAATTATACCTACTTATAAAGAATTATAAAGGCCAAGATAGTTTTATCATGGGTTAATTTTTTATAGAGGCTTTATAATTTATTATGTTATTATATAAATATCCCCCTATATAAGGCAAAATTTGATATACAGGGTGGTCCGAAGTGTATTTTGGAAACTTCGGAAACATATTTTGCAGATAAAAATGAGTAAAAAGTTCGTATAAATGTATGTCCTAAAATGCTTAGTCTTGGCGATACAAAGGGTAGTTGCATTTTTATTTCGTTTTTTTCCAAATAATTTCTGAAATAACGTCAATATTTAGGTGAAAATTGATGTCTGGGAATTTTTTGACATGAGAAATTTGATTTTGATGCCAATGTGACACTTACTTGTAGAGGGCGCCATATATGCCACCTACATATTTTTAACTGGTTTGAAGAGTAATAACTTTTCGTCCATACCTGTAGAAAACTACTAAGTAAAAAAATATACATTTACGACGTTTTTTACGTAAAAAAGGTCTCTAGGTAAAAATCGCTACGAGTAATGGTTCTACAGATATTTGGAATCGAAATTATCAATACCTGTCATCACTGACATGAATAATTAAACATGTTGACTAAATACCGTATGATCGAAAAAAACGCCGTCCAGTTGGCTTAGAAATGACGATCGATGACATTTCCCATATAATTTTACATATAAAATGACAGCGATCTTCATTTCATAGCCATCGCTGACGCGGTTTTATTCGATCATACGGTAGTTATTAGACTGAAATCATAAATTTGAAATGATTTTGTGTAAAAAGTAAGAAAAAAAGTAAGAAACTGTTTTAACATCATTTTTTCGAAGAAAAATTTATGATTAATTTAAAAAAATAAAAAGTCCTAAAATTTATAATTTCAGTCAAATAACTGTCTACTCAACGTGTTTATTTTTTGTCAATAATGACTACATCCATTCATGTTCCATTCTAAATATCGTGAGAAAGTTTGCCCGTAGCGATTTTTACCAAGAGACATGTGTCCAATGGAATATTGGGACACACTGTATATAAAATAGTTTTACAGTTTGTAAAGATGAACCGGGGACATAGCGTACAGATTTTGCAGAATTATGGGACACTCTGTATTTTACAGGATATTATTTTTAACAGTCGACCGCAAGCCCTAATAAGGGATACGGTATAGAGATACGACTTTCCGTCCTCTAATGAACTCCAACAGGAAGCTGCCACATTCGTCGTGTTAATTGGGGAGTCGAAAATTGGCCACGCCGGCCATGGATATTTATTAGAGAGAACATCGGAACATCAGTTCGTCATGGGCCTCTTTGATTTTATGACGGTTCCTAATAATAGACAACACGTGAGAGACGTGGAAAAAATATCATTTGACAAGGTTTATTCGTAGTTGTTCATATACAGTGCCCAGCAACAGAATTTCGAGTATTTATATCTATTATAGATCCTATAATACTTTGAGGAACACGAGCCCACTGTAGTGTTGAGCGACAAAAAGAATTGGAGGAGAAAATAAACGCTAACTTTCCTCAGCAGTTAAAAGACCATACCATAACGTGGCATGGTACAAAGAAAACAAGGTATGATCGATAGCGGCTCCAATTTCGTTAAGTTTGCGCATACCACCTGTGACGTCATACGACATACAAAAAAATATCCATATTGTTCAAATGCCACTAATAAAAAAAGACCTATAGTAGGGAAGAATTAGGATATAACCCCAAAAGTTATGTCAAATTATCGAGCTTGACATTTGAAAAATAATTTTCACATTTTGACACAATCAAATTTCACAGATGACACAATCTGTTTAACCATTTGAAATTGGCGCGCAGAGCTTGCCGACCAATGGAGCCGTTTATCACCTGTGACGTAGTGACCAACCTGCGCAATATCATACCTTGTATTCTTTGTATCATGATAACGTGGTATACTGATGCTTCCAAAACAGAGTAGTAACGGGGATTGGAGTATTTTTGGGCCGAAAACTAAATATTCTGAACCAATAGGCACCAATGCGTACAACTTTTTTTAGATAGGAACTATCGGAAACAATAAATAGCCATTTTATGCAATAGTCAAGCAGCCTGAAAAGCGATCAACTCAGTAACCATCAATTCGAAGTTAGTCAACTAATGCCTAGAGAAATTGAACAAATTATTCAAAGAAAATAAAGTTCCCTTACTCAGGATAGCCTATATTATAGCGCATGAATGTATCAAATTCGATGAGTATAACCATATAGTTGCTCGATATATAATTTTACTTACAAGCTATTACTTTTAAGTCTTTTTATACTGTCGGATCGAAAAATAACGTCCAGCTGTTGGCTTCGAAATGACAATCGTTGACATTCCCCATATAATCTATATTATCTATACTACTAATATATAAAATCCTTAAGTGACTGACATACTGATTAATCACGATCCTGCTCAAACCACTCAACGTAAGAAGCTCAGTTTTGGCATACAGGTTGATTCTAGGGTGTAGAGGTTAGAGGTTCGATAAGAAGGGATCGATTTTTCGAAATCCCAGTTCCAAGAGGGTGAAACCACCCCTCAAATATTACAATATTTTTTTATTTAAAAAAACGGTTAAGTTTCCGAAAAAACGCTGAAACACGTATATTTTATTTTGTTTTTTTACATATTTTAAGATTTTTTAAAAATGTATACAGGGTGTTTCGAACAATCTGGTCATTCATTAATCACGATCCTGCTTAAAGCGCTTGACGTAAAAAGCTGATTTTTGGAAAAGAGATTGACTTTAGGGTGTAGAGGTTCGATAAGAAGGGATTTTTCGAAACTCGAATTCTAAGGGGGTGAAACTATCCCTCAAATATTAAAATATTTTTTATTTAAAAACCGGTGAGTTTATCGGAAAAATTCTTAAACACGTATATTTTATTTTGTTGTTTTACATATTTTAAGATTTTTTATAAATTTATACAGGGTGTTTCATAAAATATCACCATTGAGTAATCACGATTCTGTTTAAACTGCTTGACGTTTAAAGCTGACTTTTGGCAAACGGATTGACTGTGGGGTGTAGAGGTTCGATAAGCAGGGGTTTTTCGAATCTAAAATTCCAAGAGGGTGAAAACGCCCCTCAAATATTACAATAGTTGTTATTTAAAAAACGGTAGTCTCTCGGGAAAACGCTTGGACAAGCATAATTTATTTGTTTTTTTTACATATTTTGTTTTTTTTTAAAAAATCATACAGGTTGTTCCAAAAAGTTGGGTAATTTCTTAACCACGATTCTGTTTAAACTGCTTGACGTAAAAAGCTTATAACAAATGGATTTTTCGAAAGTCTAATTCCAACGAGATGAAACTAATCCTCAAATATTACCAAGTTATATAATAATATCGCCATATTGTTTTTTCTCATGCTGACATAAATGTGAGAAAATTTTATCCAGTTTGT